AACAAACAACAAACAAACACCAACACCAACAACAACAACAACAACAACAACAACAACAACAACAACAACAACAACAACAACAACAACAACAACAACAACAACAACAACAACAACAACAACAACAACAACAACAACAACAACAACAACAACAACAACAACAACAACACCAACACCAACACCAACACCAACACCAACACCAACACCAACACCAACACCAACACCAACACCAACACCAACACCAACACCAACACCAACACCAACACCAACACCAACACCACAACAACAACAACAACGACAGCAACAACAGCACAACGCGAGAGCGACAGTGAGAGCGACAGCGACAACAACAACGACGACCACGACCACGACGTCGACCACGACGACAGCGACAACGACAACAGCAACAGCAACAGCAACAGCAGCAGGAACAACAACCACAGCAGCAACAACAACAACAAAAGCAGCGGCAAGAAGCAACAACGCATCATGGTGGCAACAAAGGGGAGGCTGTGGGCTGCAACTCGTAATTCCGCCAATTGGGGAGAACAGCAAGTGCCCTCTTTTGTACGCAAGGCACTGGGTCTTGAAGGTCGGGTTGCAGCATTCAATGGTTTGCAAATGTAAGATGCAGGGCTTCATTTGGGTGTTGAAGTTGTCTTTCAGACCTGGCGACGGGGTTGTGCTTTTGCTGCGGCTGTATGCAGCCGTGCTTCGCCGCTTATATAATCTTGTGGTTTTGTCGGGCAGCGCGCCGTGGCTGGCTGGGGGCAGGCAACGTTTCAGCAGACGTGCCCAGGCTTGCGGCAGACCCTCACATTGAGGGATATGCGAGCGCCTCGGAACCTGCAGATTTTATTTTTGCTTTGATTATCAGCTTTGCTTGCCAGGTTTCTGTTGGACATCGCGTGAGCCTCGGTCAGTACCACGATGTGCCGCTGGCATGTTTACTTCGAAGCAAGCTTTAGTTAACCCAACTGGTAAAAGGGTGCTTACCCATATTCAGGCACCTTTTCAAGCAAGTTGCATAAGTGCTGTTGAGTCTCTATGAATTTACTTCAGCGTGCCAGCAAGAGGGGCCGACAGCCTTCAAACACAATCAGGGTTTTGATCGCAGATGAATCTGCAGTTTTTTGTGTTGGATTGTTTGTAGCGCATGCGACTCTGAAAATCAGCAGCCAGACATGTGCAATGGGGACAGGTGGTGCTTGAGCTGCTCGGTGGTGGTGGCTGGAGACTCCTCACACCGCAGGAGTACGAGGAGCACTCCATAGCACAGCTTTTGCCCAGCCATTCCCGTTGTTGCTGCGCTGTCCGGCTTTTCTCGGTTTTACAGAGTCCGGGGCGTGCTGCGAGGCAACCGCAGCGGCACGATGATTGGTAGTGGAATGGCGGTTGGCAACTGTTAGCGCCAATCAAGCGGACAAATGAAGCCGGCGCAGCTCAGCTGCTGAAGGGCTTTTGCAATTTGGACTTTTGACAATGGAGAACTGCATCGGTGTGCACAAAGTGTGCATGGCTCTCAGCCACATCTTTAGGAAGGCAATTGAGTTATTTCACTCAGTCCAATTTCACAAACCCTTGCGCGCTTGAGTGGCATGTGAGGCGGTCCTTGGCAGGAGTATGGAGCAACCAACTGCACACATACACGTCCAACGCAAGCGTTGCTGCGAGGTTAGCTTGGTGCTTGGGTTTCAGTTAGGCTCAGTGGCACTTGGCCTTCTGAGCAGACATCGCTGGAACTGCCATGTCAGTGTCCTTTGACCCCCGCGCCTGGGCCTTGGCGGCCATTGCCTTGCTATTCATCAATGTGCAAGGTGCAGAACCATGGGCTTGAGATGGCTCGATGTTGCAGCCTTGTGGCTCAACGTTTTTTGATGTGCAGTCCATCCTACGCCATGCCGTGCCGCAGGGCTGGCTGCCGACGAGTTTGGGGTCTTCTGCTGGTGGTCTGGGGACAAAGAGGGTGACTGATATAGTACTGAGTTGCCTGAATATTGGATATATATATGATATATACGATGAATGTATATATATAATATTATACATACGCATATACGCCTACTGCATTCTTGTTTCTTTGCAAACTGTATGGGTGACAAGTGACGCGAGTGACATGGGTGACTCGTGCCACCTTGCAGGTTGCGTTTGCTTGGCCAAGATGTTGGCTGAAAAGTCCTTTGGCAGAGCCACGGGCAACGAGCACATCCATTTTGGTGGGGGTGCCTTTCTTAGTTTTGTGCAGTGCCTGAGGCTAAAGCCTGCTGTTGAGTGCCAAGCGACTTAGGTTGGCATCGTGGTGCTGTGGGAAGCGTTTTGCACTGTGTTTGTCAGCGACCGGCCAACCATTCTGGCGGAGTTCCTCAACTTTTTTCTATGCCGGCGCCGAAGAACTCAAGTGGAGCATCACCAGAATGTTGCATCCATCCTGCACAACAAGATGGACGAGTTCACAAGCATGAGGAATGCTAACACACACTTTTGGTCAGAGCGGACTTGGTCCCATGGCAACGTGTCACAGTTGTCCCTTTGGGATGTGGAAGAATCCTCTTCCGGCCCTCAGGGCTTCGTGCCCAAGCCAGGGGCCTCAGTGGTTTTCTTTGCAGACCACACCCTCACCATCGGGCCAGGTGCAAAAGTTGCCACTGTTCTGTTGATGCGTGTGGGAGATCTTTCGAAGGAAGCGGCCGTGGAGTTGGCTACCGTTGATGGTACTGCTGAAGCCGGCTACAGCTTCAAAGCCTCCAAGCAAACCGTGTGCTTCGACGCAGGTGCCGCCTCAGCTGAGTTCCACGTGGAGCTGTTGCCCAGCTCGCACTGCGTCACGCATCGATTTTTTGTTGTCCACGCGACAGCTGTCTACAGCAACGTCGCCATGGGCAGCTCGTCCTTCACTCGGGTCCGGCTTCTTCCAGTGGGATTGTGGCCTCCAGGCGTGCAGCTCGAGGATGTGCAGGCGCAATTTGCAAAACGTTGGCTTCTCGCCATTTGCATGCTGCATGTTTAAAGCTGGATCAATGCGCGACATTTCTTTCACGTGACCCCTCAATTCATGCATGCTGCGAGGACAAAAGCCGAAGCAGACTGATCCGGCTGAGACTTGTGTGGGGGTTCGCGAGGCATCTGCTGTCCAGGCGCGGACGCTCGCTGTGGCATGTGCTAGTCGCGATTGCGTGGATTGACTTCCATCGGGTGGTGCTGAACACCCTCTTGCTAAACTACGCATTATACGACTTTTGTTTGACCCAAACCCAGCTCCAAGTGGCTTGCCAGCGCTTGCCTGCCATTGCACTCGCAAAACTTGTCCTGGTGTGCATCGACCGCTTGGCTGACCACATTAAGTTTAACCAGGCAGGGAGTATGTCCTCTACAAAATACTTGCAGGAGCTTCTGATACATCGATATCTACAGACGGCCAATGACACCATCGAGCTGGGCAATTTTCTCCACATGCTGACAGACACCGTGCCCGATAGCATTACTCACGGGTACAAGACCGTGTACCAGTTGGCGCACTGCTTTGTGACTGTGGTGCTCTCAGTGTTCATGGCCCTTCTCATGCCATTTCTGAAGGGTGAGTCACCTTCATTTGATACGCTGCAGCCTTTGCTGTGGATTGTTGTTCCCTTGCAGTTGGCATTTGCCATTGGTTTCTGGATGCGGCACCCGTCTTTCGACCGTTGGGCCACGCTCTCCCGCGATGCTGACATTGAAAAGCACGGTGCCATGGTTGATTTGCTGTATTGCCGGCGTTACTTACGAGCGTATGACACATCATATCCAGTGCAGCACGTCAGACATTCCTTTGATGATGCTTGCTCCTACTACTTGCAGCAAAGGGGTGGCTTTTTGTTGTATCAATTTGACACCCAATGGGTTGCACGATACCTGGGCGAGCTGACCAAAGTATTCGGCATCCTCTCTGGGGGGTATGCTGCGTTGCGACATGAGCATTTGCACGAAGGACAAATGACACTTGGTCGCTTCACAGTTTTTCTAAGTTTGTACAGCATCATCATCGATGTCATGTACATGTTTCTGGAGGCATGGACTGGAATCCTGTACGCAGGGTTCCTCGTGCAGGAACTCTGTCGGGTATTGAATGAGCCAGATCGTTGGCAACCCCGCCAATTTGAAGCAGCGCGCATCTCTGAACATCCGATAGCAAGAGGGCACTTCTCCATCAAGCTTGCAGCGGCTGATTTCTACATGGCAGCAGCTGCCTGCGCAAAGTCGACCGCGACAGTTGAAGTACCCTTGGGCTTAAACTACGGCGTGAGGACTTACAGCGACGCCAGTTCGCTTCGGCAGCGCGTTTGTGAAATTATCGGAGAAACACGTGCAGGCCTCGGAGGTCAGATGAGCTGTGCACGACTGCTCCTTCTAAAGCCCCCGGTGAGCCTTGCCACGGGCTCAGTGTTGGAGAATCTGCTGGCCAACGCTGCGTCTTGGGTCAGGGCAAGTGATGCTTATGCCCTTTTGATGTTGCTCGGCATACCCATCCCAGCACCTGATGGCATCAAGCCCCTGCATGGCTCTTGCCCAGAGGCCTTGCGTGACAGATTGGTCCAGCACGCGCGCAACCTGCGCCCACTGCCTTCAGCCCAGCCCGGGCCCTTTGGCGCATCTTCCCACTGCGAGTGGTTCCAGCAGCGGTGCTTGGCAGCAGACTTCTCTGTACTGTCGCCTATGATCAAGGCAGTGGATTTGCTGCAGCCTGCCGAGCAGCACTTGTTTGATTTGGCCCGAGCCTTGCTGGCTGACCCTGAAGTTCTGGTTCTGCACGACATGCTCAATGCCATGCCGCTGGTGCTGGCGAGTACTGCGGTGCAGGTCCTCCTTCTGTGGCAACGTCTCGGGGGTTTCAAGGGAGTTGCGCTGGCACTTGAGGGAGCCCATGTTGCTGTAGCCGACGGCTACCCGAGCTGGCTGACAGTAGGCGGGATTCCGCGCACCATCTTCATTTCTGAGTGTACCATAGTTTGTGCCGGCCTTGACTTGGACCATCATCTTGACTCTTGGTTACTCATACATCCTGGCGGCGCAATGGAAGTCCAACATGGGACGCTCCAGTGACACAAGGCATGGCGCGCATAAAAGGCAACCCAGGGTCGGACACGGCAGTCTGCTTGTTGCTCGCTACTTTGATGCTGCAAGCTACGCTGACCCAGGGCCTCCTTCAAATGGTTGCTGTCATGCACCTTACAAACATTTCCCGACACATTGATAAGAGTTTCACTCAGAACATCTCAACCGCACATGCCGGAGCTTCTTTGCATGCTTCTCTGGGCTCCTTTGCCTCCGTGCAACAGGGGCAACAGGGTGCGATTTACTTTCTTTATTTTATTTTTATTTTTTGGTTCGCTGAACTTCAAAGGGCTTTCCTTGCTGTTGCCTATAGGCCATCGCAGGGCGGCAGGCAGCTCAGCTGCCAGCGTCACCAACAGCCAACGGGAACCAGCAGCAGCTTAGCTGCAGCTGTTCGTTTTCGCGTCCATTTGAAGCAACAACTGGACAAGGTCTGCTCAGGCAAACGAGCCCACGAAACCACCCGGAATTAATGTGGCAATGCGGACCACTGCCGGAAGGGAGGCCGAGTAGCTGCCTACCCCGTTCCCCCTCAACCTGTTTTTGTTTTTCAATAGTTTCTTCAGGGACCTGGTCCTGAGTGAGAGTTTTAGTTGGGCCTTTGCTTACATGAGTTTCCGGTTGGGGTGACGGTTTGGGAAAGCATGTGTTATTATCATTACTGCACGGGGCCTATCTTTATTCAGAGAGCAAGAGGGCTATCAACGCTTTAGCTTCATATTTCCAAGGACGGATGACTTGCCGGATCTCACAGACAGCTGCTTGGCGCAAAGCGGTTCATGGCAGATGTCTCCCTTCCACTTTTGGCTCTCATCTGTTGAGGGGTAGGATTAGCTGGATTAGCTCTAACTGAGCCACTGAATCCTGTTACGTGCCAACTCTCTGTGCGATGGCCTGGCTTGCCTGACTGATCCTGACTGGTTCCTTCGACGTGTTGAGATGACTTCCTGGCAAGCCCGAGTACAAGTTCAAATGTCCAGATTGCCACATTGTAACCTTTCTCGAGTGCATGTCATGGCTTGAGCGGCCTTTGGGGTGCCATTGGCAGGGATAATGTCGATGGGCCTCTACGAGGAGTACCAGCTTCTTGTCAAAGAGAAGGGCATGTTTGGCATGATTGATGCGAAGCTGGCGATGCCTTGAGCTCGGAGCCTGGACCAAGGAAATTCCGGGAAGGCAATCTGATTTGGCGCGGCGGCGGTGCACGTGGTGCTCGCGGAGAGCCAACTGCAGAGGCCCATGTGGGGGGCGGGGGAGCGGGGAGGGCACGGTCTCGTTTCAGCCTTCCTGTGTGAACGCACGGAGCGTGTGCGTGCCAAGAGGCGATACGGGACGCACTCAGATGACTCGCGACGAAACTAACAAGCCTTTTTACGCATAGCCTGCTGCCGTCTGCTGAGTTGTGTTTGGTTTTCTGCCTGTTTCTGCACAATACGTGACGGCACTTGCAGGCTCCGAACTGTTTGCTCATTTGAGCAGAGTTTTTTTTGTAGCGCCCGGAGCTGCGTAGGCTGGAATAGTGTGCCTGCGCAGTCCGCGTAGGCCGCGTAGTCTTTTTTGCGTAGGAACTGCCTCCGCGTAGGCTGAAACCTACAAACATGCAGCTCGCGTAGGCTCGCGTAGGCTTCCGTAAATTTCCCCTTTTCGTGTACCTCAGTGGACACTGCTCATTTCGAGCTTCTACTTGGGGACGGACCCCCGGAGCCGAATCAGATGCAAAGAAAATTGCACCCCGCCTAGCGCTTTCAGGTACTAGTAGTTGTTTGTGGTTACAAAAAGGAAGCAACAAGCAGAAAAGAATTGCACGGGGCCAGGGGAGGCCCATGTGTGCAATCCGTTAAGTTTCTCGAGGCCCGACCCCAAGGGCAGCATCTGCAGTGGTTTGCGATTTTCTTGTTTTGTACGGCTAGACGAAATCTAATAAATGCGAAGATCAAAGCAAACATGAATTGCAAAATGTCTTCTGGCTGCATCTTTTCAGCTGGAGGGTATATGGCCTGCGCAAAGCTATGCATCTCGACTGGTACCACCGGAACAGTACTCATGAAAAAAAAAGCAATGCCCAGTTTATGCAATACGTGTTTCAAGCTGACTGAACACATGCGCGCACACACACACATATATGATATATTTGGATCACTCATTTTACTATTAGTTTGGATGCTTTGGAGTGTCTTAAGTCGCGAATGGTTGAAACAGACGTAAGCTCATAGTTGAGCTTCACGTGTGCATAAACATTGATATGTATTTTTATCCTGAAGTGTGGTCACACCACTATTCTGATGTTCTTACATGTAGTCGCAAAGCTAGCAAATATACAAGTTGCATTGATCACGTGTGTATGTTCAAAGAATGAATCCGTACTTGTCTGGCGCGTGCTTGCCCCGCTCATCATCATGACCCAACTTGACATGCAGGGGATGCAAAGTGACGGCGACGCCGCGGACGCATAGTGATGATTATCACCACCACTGATCACAATCATCATCATTACCATTGCGCTCTTCTTTTTCGTATATGTTTCAAGTGTGCCGCCAACACTTCTAGATTCAAAAGTTCCGCCCTCCCGCTTTTGCCGCCTAGTAGTACTATGAGAATGTAAACGTGTGCGCGCGGCGCCTGTGAAGAGGACCAGTGAGGCAAAGAACATGTCAACAAGGCCATGTAGCGAAGCCGTGCTGAACAAAGTGTTGGTTCGAGCAGAAATGAGAGCCACACGTGACCGCAATGCGGCGTTTGGTTAGACTAGGCCATGAGGAGTTTGAAAAGCATCACGAAGCCTGTATGCCTACAGCTCGAAATGCGCAAAAAGGGCACTCCCACAGCGCCCGGCTGTGTTTTACAACGGGTTTCCTTCGTTCGCTTCTGCCAAGAATCAGCAGGTTACGATGTGCACAGTCCAGACCTTCTCTTCAGTTCAAAGCTTCAAGAAGTGCATCTCTCGTATTCAATCACATTTTCCCTTTCAATGCCTCGCTTGAACATGCAGGCCATGTCGCCGTCACCAACCCAGGACGAGCACAGGAGGGACTGCGCCAGGGTGTCCAATCCAGGGATTTGCCCTTCTACGGGCCAGCGCTTGCAGCCAGCTTGCAGGAGCTTTCTCCAAACTTTCTACCCATCTTTTGATACCTGGCATTGGAGACGTACGGCTTCTTACTGGATCCTTGGCGACGCAAGCAGTTGCCAACGATCCCGCCAGCAACAACATGAAGAGCACCCACCGGTTCTGAAGTACAACAGTGCCAGCATGAAAGCCATGCATTGTCAGTGTGTGGGCTCGTGACAGGTCGGCTTAGCATCGCGGATCGCATCTGGCAAATCTGTTGCAATGATTTTGCAAATCATTGTGCCAAGCAAAGTTGGCCTGGCACTACACGCATCACCACCTTGTCACAAAACAGACTTTGGACACATGCTGCTATGTGTATTTGTTTCAACCATTACCGCCGCAATAACCATGCTGTCTGGCACATGCAATACCAACTGGCGCTGGGCCTCAGCTGCACCATTCAACAGGCTTGAATCCTAGAGGGTTCTTGGGAAGATTCTGTATGTTTGTATGTGTGTTTCGCACTGCCTTCCCGGTGGTGATTGGTTGCATGGCGTCACCTCAGGATTGCAATTTCCTTCGCGGAGGGATCGCTTCTCTTTACACTTGGAAGCTGGTTCGGTTATGCCGGTGACTGTGGCTTGGCATGTCCATGGAAGCACCGCCAATTTGGAACATGGGCCGCTCTTTGTGCTTGTGTTGCCAACATCGTGTGAGGATATGCTTGAGTTCTTTCAAGTGAGAGTGCAGGTGGCTGGCACGTGAGCGTGGACCATCGCGTTAATGCATCAATCATAAAGGCTGCTTGGATAGCTTAGCAAAGCACGCCGTTGCAAGCACTTGTCTTGCGCATTATATTTTGACTGAGTGACACGGCATGCCCGGAACACTTCAGGCCTTGAGCATCTGGCCATCGCTCTTTGGCTCTGTCTTCTTCAGCTTTGGTGCGTATCTCATGTGCCTGGAGTCGATGAGCCTTGGGCCTTGGATGTGTTTGGGAAGCTGGCGGCTTGCAAGCCCTGAGTGCGCCACCAGAACAAACATCTCAGGAATGTGATGCGCGCTGCGCCAGAGTGGGACTTTGGCTTGTTCAACTTTCGCTCCATCATGGCCCCTGGTTTGCACGGATCGAAGCCAGCACGTTGGGCCTGCGGTCGGCCAATCACTCAAGAGCAGGTCAGACTCTGCAAGCGAACCGGTCGGGGGTAGTACGTTGACTTGCCCAAGCACACCATCGTTTTGCGGCTTTGGTTCTTGCATCGCCCTCTTTCAGCACAGAAGTGTGAGAGATCAGGACGACTCTGTTAGATGTGTTTTGGCAATGAAGGCCTTGCTCCTTAGGCGTATTTGGACAGTTGCAATGCTGTGAACAAAGAAATCACACGCCTTTTGGTCGCAATTGGTGGCTTGCTTTCTGATGGGGTCACGTAGGGGTGTGGCTGACTAAGGAACTCCATACTTCGCATCATTCTCTTACTTCGCCTGGCACTTATGTGCCCGTCAGACAGTCGCATGTTTGGCTTTCGTCTATTGTTTGTGTGTGTACGTGGACAAGGTTGGCACCTCGATCTACCCAATCGCTTTGGTGACAAATTTGTGGGAGCATATCAGTTCCGATGTCAATCTGCGGCTTGCCTCGCACGGAGGTTGCGGGATGTGGGCTTCAATGGACCAGGTAAGAGCTTTGACTGTGCATTGGCTAAGGATATTCTGCACTATACCCTACACACTAGGAGGTGCTTCGCTTGACATTGCTTGCTTCTGAATGGTTCTTTGTTGGTGTTGGGGCCGCAGGTATTTGCTTCTTGGCTGGGGGTGTGCTGGAGTGTGTCGAAAACGAGGCTGGGACATTCTGGCAGAGGGTTCGCGCTAGCATGACCTGGCAGGTGTTTACCAGAGCAGGCATCAAAGCTGGAATAACTATTCCGAAGTGTGCCACTGGGACTGCGCATGGTGGCTTGGGTAGCTTGAGCAGAATCGTGGGTGAAGCGCACAATGGAGCGTTGCCACGATCTCAGGCGGCGGCGATGAACTTTCTGGGCAGGGAGCTGAGACACACATTGCCTGGGGCATCTGGCGCCCAACCTCCAGCTGGCAAGTCAATTCTATGTTTGGTTGTCCCCTCCAGCAGCTCTTGGCTTGCGCCGTAAACGCATCCCAAGTCACTTGGCCCCCTTTGTGGATGCTTGCGAGCACATGTCTCGCCATGCTCACCTTGAGGCGGTGTCCTCTTTGCCCTTGGCGGCGCAATCTTGCCTCTCGGCACTTTGGGGCATGGTCTCCCTTGCCCAGCTGCACATGATGTGAAGCGTCAGCGGAGGTTTTGGCCCGACAGCAGTCGCGAAAGCAATCTGCTTTTCACCATCGGCTCGGTTTTCTACACGATTGGGGCCAGCCTCAGCGCCACTCGGCTTGTGCAGTTTCCGTTTGTGTTTTGAGGGACAGACCGCATCCAGAGGTGATATTGTGGAAGGCCAGTTGCTTGCTGCAATGCTTTGGGGTGCAATCTGCAGCGACTGAATGAGTGCTTTGCCGCCGTGCCTCGAGGGCCAGGATAGGCATGTGACCTGTGCCGCCATGCCTAAACCCGACGGGTCGAGATTGCCGGACTTGGGTCTCTGTGTGCAAGGGGTGTCGCTTTTGAAGAGCCCCTCACGGCAGAGCCCATCGCCGGCCCCACGCCAAGAACGACCCCACAGCAGGGATCGTTTCAGCAAAAGCGAACCAAAGGTCAAGGATGTTCAGGGCATTGCCAGTAAGGCCCCAGCCCAACCAACCGACTTTCGCTGCAAAGGGTCCCAGGGACCATGGATACAAGTATGGCGTGCGGGTTTCGCTGACACGATTTATGTGTCAGAGGACACAGAGGAAACAGTCACTGAAGTCTTCGTTCCCGATTTCTGGGATGATGAATGGGATCGCACAGATCAGGTGAAGTGGCGGCGACGTGCCTTGCGTTGCACTCCAGCGCTTGGTCATTGTGCCGGCACAGAAGTCATATTCGTCTACGACGAGCATCCAGAGAAGGTCATGTGTGATGGCAGCGAGCTGCGGTGTGAGCGATGCGGACCAGACGCCAGTGGACGGGAGCTTTTTGTGCAGCTCTGCCTTGATGCTGCCATGACGAAATTCGTGAGTCGGCGTGACAAGCTAAGCAGAGAAGCCTTGTCCAGAGCCACCCTGCTGCCCGGAGCAGATCAGATCAGAGCCCTGGCACCGCCTCTCAGCCACGCCGTGAAAGCAGTGTCAAAGATCGAGTCGTTCCTGTGCGGCGAAGCACTGGTGCAGGTTTGCAGGCTTGGATTCCAAAGCACAAATCTCCGCTTCCGCCTGCCACTGGCCGCTTCATTTGCCGAGCTGTACCACGCGACTGCAGCTGCATTCTTTCAGGCAGGTGTTATGTTCGAGGCTGGCTTCGTGCTCTCGACTCCAGACGGCTCCACCTTGCTGCCCTGCAGGCAAGACATAAAACTTGACCAGCCATCACTGAGGTGCCAGCCTGACAGCAGCAACTATCGTTCGCGAGTCGATGAACACAGCGATGACAACGGAGGCCAGACCAAGATATTTGTGCATGACATCACGGGAGCTCTCATTGCTGCAATGGCCTTGTGTGCAAGCGCCACATCGGCATTGTGCAAACATCGCATTCGCAAAGTGACTGGACGACATGAGCCAGACGACTGCATGAGCTTGGTGCTGGAGAATGGTGTGGAATGGCACGCGGAAACGGTGGGCTCGCTTGACACCCCAGTGGTGCAGTTGACGCTGGTGTGGGGGTCTGCTTTCCAGTTTGTGGTAGTACCTTGGAACAGCTCAGCGCAGGTCATTGCAGGCCGGGGGGTGTTTTCTCCGGAGCAGATTCCGCCACGAGACGGTGTTAGCCGCATAGGCTTTGCACTTCAGGGGTCAAGGCCGCTGGCAGGAGCACACAAGCTTAAGCAGCTTTGCAACAGCACCGGGGGGCCACGCGCGGTCGCAGACGAGGGTCATGACGCTATGCCTGACTTTGATGAGGATGACGTGGCAATCGCTCAGGGGGTCACTCACATCTTTGAAATTGGGCCGGTGCAAAAGATGACGGTCAACATGACCAGCGATGGCAACCAAGTTGGAGGGTCTTTCTATCAAGCCTGGCTTCCAGTGTCAGCTAGCAGTGCTGTGCTGCGCTCTTATTTGGCCAGGATGTTTGACAGGCACTCGCAGGGCAGGAATCAAGACTGGTACCGGTTAACCCAACTGGGCGACAAGTTTAACGCTATTGCGTTTACAGACTTGCGGCTGCTTGTTGAGAACGGCCAGCTTGAAGGTTTCACCGTCAGCTCCAATTGAGGGCTGGGTCAAAGCAGATGACCATGTACTATAATCAATCGAAAAGAGGTGCGGATTGTGGCGGGCAATCTACTTACAACATTGCTTCGCGTTGCTCGCCTGAGTCCGGCCAGGACTGGTCAGGTTTAAGTGTGGGCCAGGTTACGTTGTCCTGCTCTCGCTGCTGGGTGTTCCGTCCGTCGGACTGGAGCAACGCCGCACAGGAAATCGGAAAGGAGAGCTCCACGCAAGTCAAGCCTTGATCCGCAGCTTCCTCAACCTCAACTCGCCTTCAGTTTCGCCCAATTCTGTCAGTTCACCTTGACCGACTCTGTCCCGGCAATTGGGTGCGCGAGACGGTCTGCGCAGTGCCAGCTTCCTGTTTCGTGTCTGCCCCTGTCGCTTCCTGTGGTCTGTCGCCTGGCAATCTTGGGTGCCGCCTGGGACTTTGAAGTCCGAGCCCCCTGTCCAACTGTCCCGGGTCGGGACCAGAACATGTCCAGCAGGTTCGGGGGATCTTCCTGTAAAATCGTTGGGAAAGGGAATCTGAACGCCAGTCGGCCACGGGCCTGAGGTGATCTTGCCTTTCGCTTCTCAGAGCCCTGCAGTTTGCAGGATGAGCAGTTTGGCCTGGCATACCTCGCGGCCTTGAATCACATCAGTGGTCAGGCCTGGCCGACATGTGAGAGTGCGAAGTGTTTTGCATCAAAGTTGTCAGGCAAGAGGGGTGTCATTTATGGCTGCCAACAGCCCCAGAGAATCGCGGGCTTTTTCAGTGGCTGGGCTGCACTGAGCAAGGGTTTTTCAGCCGCGTGCTCTGCTCTGTGGCCACCTGCTTTCTTCCAGCTGGGCTTGCTCGATCGGGTTTCACGGGGCGGCAGCTTGCACAGAGCAGTGTGCTTGCCTTTCTTCAAACTTTCATGGGGGCGTGCGCAAGTTTATGCATGTGTTTTCTACTCGCCGAATTGTAGCAGCATGTTGCTTTGCGGTCTGACGAATGACTTTTTGATGTTCCTTTGGCTGGAAAGTGCAGAGAGTCACACTCTTGTAGAAGCTGATTTCATGACTCATTGTCAACTTGCAGCTGGCAGTGTGTTTGTGGGGCAGTGGTTGCAGACATGGCGGTGACAGGAGTGTGGGAATGGGGTCAACCCTGTATGAGATCGGCTGTGCGTTGCACGCAGGTGCGTGGAATTGTATTTATCCATCTTTACTGCATGGTCTCCGTGGTGGATCCTCGGCTGTCAGCCTAGGGCGCTTAGGGCCCAAGTCTGTCCTTGCATGACAGGCTTAGGCGCTTGGAAGGCATGCTCTGCCCCTTAGGCTGTGATGAATTTCTGTCTTGCCCTTAACCACTTCATCGCAATGCCAAACCTCTTCACATTGACGCGAGCTGGCAATGAGTCATGGCTGCAAACAAACATGGCGCAGGGTTGGAATGGCTTGCTTGTTTGCATCGTTCACTTGTTCCAAGGAATTCCTGCCATTTCTTCTGCTGCATTTGGTTTTGCTCCTTCACTCCGCCGTTGTGAAGACCCCGCGGACACAGCCGTTTCATGCGTCTTGGCACGGACGCTGCGTTGCTTTTGTATTGAGTTGTGTGAGGGGAAGTGGTTCGCTGTCGATGTGCATAGCACGGGTTTGGGGTTTTGGCCGGTTTCAGTTTACTTCGACATCCCGTTGAAGTCCTGGGAGGCACTTGTGATGTCTTTGCGCTTTCTGACCGTGGTGGCTTGGACGTGCAGTTAGAACCCTGGATCCTTGAAAAACCCTTCCTCCCTTCCTTCCCTTCCTTCCGTTCCCGTCCGTTTCCTTCCCTTTCCTTTCCTTTCCTTTCCTTTTCTTCCTTCCCTTTCCTTTCCCTTCCTTTCCTTCTTTTTCCTTTCCTTTCCTTTCCTTCCTTTCTCTTTCCTTTCCCTTTCCCTTCCCTTCCCTTCCCTTTCCTTTCCTTTCCTTCCCTTTTTTTCCTTGTTTTTCCTTTCCTTTCCATTCCTTACTTTCCCTTTCCTTTCCTTTCCTTTCCTTTCTTTCCCTTTTCCTTTCCTTGCCTTTACTTTGCTTTCCTTTCCGTGATCGTCAGAAGAACACAAAATGCCGAAAAACGATAGGAGACTCTCAAGCTTTGTAGCGAAAAGGCCGTGGGTAAGAAAATTCGTCCGTGCCTCATATCTGTTGTGCTTGTCCAGCGCTGCTGTCAAGGTTATCATGTTGCTGGCAGTTGGAACGTTTGTCGCCAGCCTCTCGGGTTGCATTCAGTTTTTTGGCCTGCTCTTTGTTTTGCGATCTTGCAGCTTCGTTTTTTTAGGAGACCTGGGCTGCAGACAAAATACAGCATGCACTCCATACGAGGCCTGATGCACCCCCCGCCGCCGCAGCGTATGCCGCACAAGCCGTTGCGATGGCACTTCCGGCCGCGTCCTTTGATTATTTGACAGGCCTTTCTGCACCAGAGAGGATGTGATATGCAGTGGCTTTTCCGGACCCTGACCCTTAGCAAGGGGCAAAACCTTGCAATTGCGAGTCCACAGAAAGATGTGGAAACCTCGCTTGCTGTTTGCGGTGCGTCGGGATGCAACGTCTCATTCATTGCCGAAACATTTCACTTCCGCTGCATCTCTTGGACATGCTGATTTGCCCGGGGCTACTCCTACCAGCAGGTGAGAGCAGCACGGATTCAAGATTCTGTAGCTTTTCCATACTCCATTTCTTGGATGTCATGTCAGAAGCACTCCAGAACTAGCGAGAGCAGTGACTTCAGTGCAAGCAAGTTAGGTGATAGGAGGCCTTGGCTTTGGGTCAATCGTCAACACACATCCATCATCCACCCATCAGACACCAGCAAACCTGCGCACACAGGCACACTCATACATGAACCAAACACAGACACACATACATACCGCGACATGCACCTTGGATACGGCGAGCGCATCAAGCGCACAAACGCACACAATGCTTGGTTCGCAAGAGTTGTGGCTTTTGCAAGGGGCGCGATGTCCAACCAACGCTGTTTGCCATGCTGCCTTTTCCGAGATGCATGTACGCTGGCAGACGCCCCCCGAGCACAGCTGACCGCTGGAAGCATCGTGGGTGAATATGTTGGAGGCGCTGAGCATTTCAGCGCAGTGCCCTTTGCAGCTCCTCCTGTGGGGGCATACAGGTGGAAGCGACCTCGGCCGGTGGAGCCATGGACAGGCGAGCTGGATTGCAGTAGCCGACGCCCTGCAGACGATCGTCGCGGTCGACCAGTGCAAGACGTGAGCTCCAACGAAGATCGGCAACCAACAGAAGATTGCCTTCACCTGGACATATGGCTCCCAACAGGGACAGTGGCGCAAACCACGAAGCCTCATTTGCCAGTGCTCGTTTGGATCTATGGGGGTGGCTTGCTGTCCGGGTCCAAGGACGATCCTGGGTCTTCCGGGCAGAGCTACGCGGAGCAGGGCATCATCTTTATTTGCATCAATTATCGAGTTGGTGCTTTGGGCTTTCTGTGCCCGCACGACGGTGACAGTAATTGTGGTTTGTGGGATCAGGCGGCTGCTCTTCAGTGGGTGCAGAAGGAGATCGGTGGCCTTGGCGGTGATCCACACAATGTGACCATCATGGGACAATCTGCCGGAGGAGATTCTGTGTATTGGTCCGCCTCCCCCATTGCTTTTCCTGACATGGCAATGCTTTGCATGGTTTTACCTTTAGGCTACCTTTAGGCAAGAGGTTGGCATTCATTTTCTCCAAGTATGGGACACCCCAAATTCATGACCTACCCGAGACGCGTTCAGCAAGTGTTTGCCTCACGTGGTTATAACTCTATCCAGAGTCCAAGCTTGCACCCTGGTCGTTGCCGTGCATCGCTGCATTGGCCCTTGAAAGGCAAAGTTCGATTAAAGGTGCAACTCTGCAAAGTCATCACACAGGCTTTGCTATTGGTCTTACTGAAGGCTTGTGCAGGCCGCTCTCGCATTCGCTTGCCCGTGACTGCCCGCAGGCTCTTCGTTGTCTGAAATGCAAGTGCAGAGACCAAATACCGTACACCAAAGTACTTGGATTGAAAACTGCTGCTGTGCATTGCTATCAATCCAGCATACATTGCAAACCTAGCGCTGTTGCACAGCATTTGCAGACCACCTGCCATGTGCTGCTGTGGGTCTGCTGACGACGGCTGTGATGCCGATACTGGCAACCCTGGGCCCGACATCACCCGAAGGTCCGAAGGCAATGTTGGTCTTGGCGTTTGCATCTAACTTAGTTGAACCCAGGTGCACAGATGTGTGCTGCAGCTTGGCTGCTGAGTGGCATTTGAGTGGCATCCTTTGTGGCCGCCTCGAGGTGTACTGGTGCTGCTTGTTTTCTTTGCGTGGCCAGTGTGCGCCATACTGTGCCTCAAGGCCAACGTAGGGGACACATAGTCAAGCGAATTGCATGGCATTTTCACATCTTGCAGGATGTCGATGGGGCCTACTCCCTGACACACGGCCATGATCACTACGGGCATTTCTGTGGACGTGACAGCTTGGAGGCCAGCCATGATGTGAGTGAGGCTGCGGCAACATGCAGGGTCACTCACAGAGCGTGCCCAGGACAAAGCTTTTGCCTTCTTCCCGGATTTGGAGAATGACTTCAAGGAGGTGCCGGCCATTTGTATGTGACCTTTGTGTATTTCAGTCAGCTTGCATGGCCAGCATTTGCCTGAAGGACCCGACACTCTTGAAGCGGTATGGGGTTTGTGTGGAGAAATGCCCAAAGCAGTTTGAAGTCATCACAGATTACGCTGGTACTGGTGGCACCCCGCTGAAGCGGCCACAAGACCTGTCATGGCATCCTGGCATCACATTGCAACAAGCGACAAGTGCAGTTGACTCGGGGAAAAGCCGAGTTGCCCTTGGCCGTGTTTATGAGATGTCTTTCGGAAGGTGCTCGCACGTTCGAAGAGTGCCAGCCTTCATGTAATGTCTTTGCGCCCATTTTGCCAGATGTCAGTCATGTAACGCCAGAAAGGTACGTGTCATTACCAACTTTCCCTGTGGCCGGCCGGTGTATTCCCTATGATCCTCCTGCTAATTTCTCTGCATCTGTTGAGCGCCTTGCCTGCAATTGAGAACGTGAGCTAGTTTTTCTCCCTCTAGTCTCATGCAGATGTCCTGATGCATGTTTGTAAACGTGTTGACGGTTGAGCAGGGTGAGGGTTGAAGAAGCCCCTTTTGCCGTTTGGGCTGGTTGGTCAGTCAAATCACTGTCAGGGTGGGAACAAACCGCACAGAGTTCAGGAACATTGTGGCCTGTGGACGGGTGTGGCGGGCGATTTTGTCAGAGCGTTTCGGGACGTGACGAGGGTTCAAGGGCCCAAGGGTCACAAGGGTTGGGACATTTTGGAGGGCTCTATGGACGGACAAAAGCCTGCAACAGGAAGCACCGGATTCAGGTGGAGAAGAAGCATACACTAGAAATGGAAGAGATCGCCGCTCCAAGGTTTTGTGCGGATCCTCAGTGCCACGCTGCGGAGAAGCTACTGGGGCAGCAGTTGCTCATTGAATTTTCCGGTTCTTTACCACCTGTCTACCGTTTGTTCGTTTGTCCTCAGGCCAAGCCATCCCCAGGAGGTGTGTGGGTTGGCCAAAGATGGCACCAATCGCTTTTGGCTGATCTCCAAGGCAGCTGCATTTCTTTGCATTCGTCGTATTTGGCTCATTTGCGTGGATCTCGACCTCCCATTCGCGTAGATGAGGCTGATGACATTCTTGCGGATGGTTGGCGTCGAGAAGGTTTGTCCGACGAGGCAGGGATTCCTTGAGGTTGAGGTGGTAGGAGCCCGAAAGGGCGGTCAACCATTGATTTCATCTGCCCGCAGCACGCGTCAAGCTTGTTGGTAGGGCATTGGGTGGTGGGGCAGCCATGGCGACAGAGATGGATGTCCCTCCTTTTTGGCGCAGCGACATCCCTGATGGTGGCATGCAGCTTCTAGCAGATGCCGCTGTGCCAAAAGAAGTTCAGGATGACCTGAAGGCGCATCTTGGAGAGACTGGCGTGCGGCACTTGCTCCATGCTCTTGCTTCTCCGCCCTCCAGTGTCACGATGAGATGCACGATGCCTTTGTGTGGCACTGCTGCTGGTGATGTGGAAGCCTGCTGGCAAGAACTTGCATCTCACATCAAGGCAAGCTTGTCGGACAGTGAACGCCAGATGGCATGCTCGTTTTCTATTGAAAAGGCACCTCCGTTGCTGAATTGTCCAGAGGCCCGGCGTATTAGTGGCACTGGGCATCGCGAGGAGGAAGACACTGCAGAGGCTGATGTCATCATCGATGCCGCCTGTGCCATGGCAGTGCTGCGTGGCGCTGATGTTTTTTGCATGGGCGTGATGGCCACGAGCCAAAAACCGGAGCCTGGCCAGCGCGCACGGCTTTGGGTCGCCCCGGAGGGGGTGAAGCCGCCCTGCCGCGGCAGCATCGTGGGAAGCCCACAGTCTTGGCCTGCAGTGCTGGTTGCAGGTGGGCGTTTGCTGCTTCCCAGGGCGGAGATCTTTGCCGCGGGGGCAAGGGGCACGGCTGTTCAGGCGCTCTGGCGGCGAGGGCTTGACGTACCTCTGGCGCCCATGAACCAAGTGCTTGCAAACGCGCAGTTGAGTGGAAAGGTCGTGCTGCAACAGCTGCCCAGCAACTTGTGTGCCCGAGTCCTTCAGCCATGCATGGGGCACCAGGTTTTGGATATGTGCGCTGCACCTGGAGGCAAAACAACGCACTTAGCCCAGATGTTGGGCAATGGTGGCCAAGGGCTTACAGCGGTGGACCGTTCGCTGGCAAAAGTCCGGCGTGTCAAGGCACTCTGCCAAGCTCATGGTTTCACAAACGTCCGCTGCATTGCATCCGACTCGCGCCATTTGTTGGAGCAGTCGGAGGAGCAAGAAGCGAAGTCGGAGCCGCCATCGGAGTCGCATCACGCGCACGCCGACTGGCCGCCAGAGGCGGAGCAAGCCTTCAAGGAGGCAGTGGCTCAGCATGGTGCAGATCGCTTTCGAAGCAGCAAGCGTATTTGGAAGGCGGTGCTGGGAGCCGTGGGCCGCGGCACGGTCACCCGAATGCAGCTAAATGCCCGCCTGAGAGTGCACGAGCAAGAATGCTCTCCGGACACTCCGGATGCAGTTGAGGCTGCCGGCCAGTTTGCTTCAGAGTCCTTTGACCGTATTTTGCTGGATCCGCCTTGCTCAGCAATGGGCCAGAGACCGCTACTTCGCTGGGGAAAAAGCCTTCAGGACATCCAGAGCCATGCTGAGTACCAGCGCCAATTCCTGCACACAGCCAGTAAACTTCTCCGTCCTGGCGGGGAGTTGGTCTACAGCACGTGTACCTTGACGCCTGCAGAGAATGAGGCCAATGTATGCTGGGCCTTGCAGGCGCTCCCTCTGCAGCTGCTGGATGCTCGGGCGAATGTGGTCGAGAGCTCCAATGAGTCCTTGGCAGGACTTCCCAACTGCGGACTCAGTGAGGACCAGCGCATGCAAGTTCTGCGGTTTGACCCTCGAAGTTGGGACGCAGGCTTCTTTATCGCGCGCTTTCGTAAAGCGGACCTCGTATAATTTCAGTAGCTTCGTGGTTGAGGTGATGGATTTGCCGAGGCCATGCAGGGGGAAAGCGGCACGTGTGCCTCAGCATGGCGAAGTTCCCTGCCGGAGGGACCACAAGCCATACGTGCTCGAGGAGGGCAAGGTGCAGGTGTTTCCGCCAAGGTGGCTGGAGGCAGTCGACTTGGCCTGCAAGGCGCTGCGCCAATGTGGCCCGATCCATGCTGACCAGATCAAGTTTGTTGCAATCTGCTCATATGTAAGCAAAATTCGAGACCTCATGTGGTGCGCCAGTGAATGGCATGCGACATCTCACATGTGTGCCTTTCCTGGCCACGCTCCTTGACAGGCCATCCGGCAGCGCGCGGAGATAGCGGAATCTGCAGCGCAAGAGCCGTGTGCCTCATTTGCACGCTTGTGAAGTCATTTGAAGCAGCTCCTCTTTTTCTGACCAATTCCCAACTTCCTGCTACGCTGATCACGTCAATGCAATGCAGCGCTGCCAAGGCAAGGTGAAGGTGTTGAGAGACACCCGAGTCAGAACCGAGTATGCGGATGCATCCATCACCTACAGTATCCTCACTAAGTACACAGGATACATGTTCACATGGCCGCTTGGGCAGCAGGCATGCAAGCTAGCACAGGGAATGCCATGACGCCGAGAGAGGCAGTGGATGCTGATGTGTTTTCCGCTTGGGTGGTTTGCAAAGCTTGGATTTGGCCCTGCAACACTGTGGCGGTTTGCGCGCATCCAATTGGAAAGCAGCCACAGTTGATTGGGCATGAGGTCTGCAACCGTGTATGAGAACAGATCGACGCTGAGACGCATCTAAAAAGCCCCAGAGGCCAATGCGAGATACACCAAGCTCCGCATAGCTCCGCATGTGCCACAGGATTGTGCTGGGCCTGGGCCTGGGCGGGTCCCTGGTCTTGTCTCTGGTGCCCTGAGTCAACTGTCAGACTGTCTGTTGCACACACCCTTTGGGCAGGTGATCATCACAGGCTTCGCATACTGTGCCCCGGCCAAGCCCATCTTGTGTCTTGTGGAATGGACCTCGTCAGCCTTATCATTGACTTGTACCAAGTAAATACTTGAATGTTGGCACTTTTGCTTTGCACTGAGGCGTGGGCTGTGTGTTGACGCTTGGCCTGCTAATTCGCGGGAGTGTAACCAAGCACCTGTCCACATTGACGCGTGCAGAGCTGCATGCTGACGTTCGGGCTATTTTGGCTTTCACATGTGCCGAATAGGACTTCATGATGAAGCAATCAGCAAAGTCTGTGAGTGTGTGTTTGTGGTAGTTGCTGTGTTTTTGTTGTAATTCCAGGAATGTGCTCATCACCTGCTTATTCCTAGTTCTCATTTGTGTGGACTATGTGCTATTTTTGCAGGCCGGGCTGTGGCGTTGACTCAGTTATTGAGAGGTATGGCACGGCAGTCGCACTGGAAGGCTGCACAATACCTTCTCAGACCTATGTATTTGCCAAGCTGCGCAGGCTGGGCTGGTCACAGGAAGGAGTGGTCGACTCATTCTAGACTCCTTTGGCAAAGCCATCCAGGTTGAGGTGCCAGACGAGCGCCTTGCAGCACAATGCACAAGTTTCTGTCACAGCGGAAGTCAGGCCAACATGCAACGCCGCTCGAGGTTGACTTCTCTACTGGAAGCATCAGCTGATACGGAGGAGCTCCGGATGATTTACAAATGGCTGGCTGCTTAATCCGGGCAGGTCTCCTCGCGCCTCAAAGCAATGCCACCAAGGTGTGCAATAGGCTTGGCGATTGGTATTTTCTTGCTGGCATGCGCTGCTCTTGCAGCCCGAGACTTTTGGCCCTAAAGTGGCTGCTTCGATGCTGTCACACATTCAGCTACTTTCAGCTCGTTTTTGCACACAAGTGACCACCCACTCAGCGGCAGCTGAGAAAAACTTCCAAATCCTCGTGGAGCTGTTGAAGGAAGCATCGAACACGATGAGCATCTTGGTTGCCGTATCGCTGCACGAAACGCACTGCCACCACTCGTGGTTGCGGTGCTTGCACTCCACGGTCCTGGTGACATGCTGTTTTCAACTACCGGAACTCTGGCGCATGTTCGATCGCAAAGGAGAGATGCCATCTCTACTACTCACGCCCTTCATCCTGGCTTGCAGCATGATGGCTGTCTCTTTGATGATGCTTTGGGTGGCCTGCTTCACTTGGTGCTGCGTGAATTCGTAATTTATGATATATCGTGCTTTCGTCTCATTCGTCTCGGTGCCTTCAAAGCCTTGATCTGTCAGGTGGCATTGTCCATTTCGACTCTCCAAGCCATGGATGTCCCAGAGATCCTGGAGGCCCGGCCAGAGCGTCAAAATGTGCTCCGATCCACTCGTTTAGGCCCCTGGTTTGGCACATCTCCATGCCTAAGGCCAAGCTAAACCCACCCGGACCCCAAACAAAGAGGACAACCCCAACATAGCAAACCCGCACCCTCAAACCGCCCTAAATGAACCTCCCCCCCTCCCAAGCGTGCCAGGCATGGAAAGGCCATGTGGCACCTGCATTAGTTCAGCTGGGCTTCACGGACGACCCGCTGCGGCAACTACGACAGCACCTGGGACTCAAATGGCCGTCCTCAGCCGTCCGCCGGCGAACTTTTGCAATTCGCCGCATCTTTTGAGTCGCAGGATTGCCTTGGTGTTTAACCTCTTTGTGCTGCTTGGATGCACTCGATGGGAAGTCCTGAGCTTTGCATTCAGAGGGCTTGGACCACACTCTTCGGACTTTGGAAACACAACGTTGCAACATTGAGCTTATGAGCTTGGTTGCGCTGCTTGGTCCATCACCTTGGCCTCATGAGGGTTGAGATTGGCAAAGTGTCCGAGCTCAGCTCAGGTTTCTCTTCAGCTACTACTTCCACGTAGCACTTTGCATTTCTATTACGGCGATGTGCGTGTCGCATTGGTATTTTTACCGGGATGACCGAGACAGAAATGCTGGCACAGGTTCGGCAAAGCAAGCATATATGGCTTGACGGGGATGCGCTAGATCGGAAGCTTGTGATGTGTCATGCCGGTGGCGCGCAGGCATCAATTCGGATGGATGGTTCTTTGGACGGCCGGTGCTGCTTGCGTTTCAGCGAATTTGTAGGCACCATATTGGTTCTTTGGTATTTGGTTCTTGAAGCTTGGTCTGCATTTGACATTTTTGTGCTTTCCTGGGTCAGACGCTTTGAACGGGCGGGGGCGCATACGCTTGCGAGCCTGCTGCGCCCAGGCATCATGTCAGTGGCAACGCTTCTGCGCTCCTTGCCCCGCTACATGTGTCGATGATGGCTGACAGAGCAAGGGCATAAAGCACATGATCGAACACTTTCCAGTGAATACTTGGCATGCCTTTGCTGGCACGAGGTCTTGCGATGGAGTATGTTGCAGCCAAGACGAAGGATGCACAGGAGATGATGCTTTGGCGTTGCACTGTTATGTTTTTTGGGGTGGCAAATTGCGAGGGTCCGCCAAACCTCTGCCCAGATTGTCTGCGGGCAACTTGCGTGAGGACGGCAATCCAGTCGTGCGCGCGCTGGTGTGCACATGTCGGTGCTGCCTTTGGTGCCTGGAGAAGTGCTTGCAGTTCATCACGGAGTATGCATATGTCGTTGCCTTTGTTGCCTGGAACGGGAAGCACGTGTTGCGTGTCCTTTTTCTTGGGCATTGAGGGTCCAATCATGGCCACAGGTCTACGTAGCTGTGACTGGGAAGCCGTTTTGTTCTGCAGCCCGCTCCTCCTTCGTCTTCTTTGCGAAATATCCGCTCCAGACAGCGCTGGACAAGATGGCATCCACTGCACCTTCTCAGCGTTAGTTTGCAATTGCTAGATCAACCCTTGTGGCACTGCAGGTGCTGGGGTACTTGCTTTGCGTGACTGTTCCTGGTGGTTTGGCGGTGGCTGCTTTTTTATGTGGCCTCAAGACGGCCTGGCCAGTCTGCGCCGTCGTCATTTTCGGCTTGGCATATGTCGGCTACTAAGATGCTGCCCCAGCAGTCAAGCGCATGCAAGGCGCAATTTTGAGTCGCAGCAACATGTGCAAATTTTACACATGCTCTTGGCATCTCAGAGGTCACTACGCGGCTGGCTGCAGGCATTTACGACGTTTGCGTTACCACGCTCTTCGTATGTGCTATGCGGGACTGTGAGCACTATGGTGGGCGAAATTCAGCTGCAATCTGACGGGTTTTGAATGGTTTTGTTGTTGCACTTGGCGTTTCTCCCTTTGAAACTGTCCATATCTGTCCATTGTTGGCGTGCCGGGGCCAAGTTTGTTGGGCTGCCTGGCAATCGAGTGAAGCGCCGAGATCTGGCCCGGAATGTTTGAACACCTTACGATCGTTTCGTTCAGTGAGTTGTGGGCCAACTGGCCATCTACTATCTTTCTGCCATGCATGAAAGCCTGAGCCTACTCAGGATACATGAGCAAGAGTCTGAAGAATGCCTGTGGCTTTGCAGAACTTGCGCGCGCCAGCCTCTCTCCAGGGGCCATGGGAATTGAGTTGCAGGCGGGCGCTTGGTGCTCGAGCTTGCCATTGCTGTTGGCATGGGCATAGACTGGATCTACTGCCAACGCCGGAGGATGCCAGCTGAAACCTCGCGGCGATGCTGACAGCAAAGATGCGAGCCAAGAAAAAGATGGCCTCTGTCAGAGGTGCAAATTCGACGTCTCTGACAAGTGTGCTGCTGCTGGATGCCGAGACGCCCGTCGCAGGCTTTGTGCATCGCCAGTGGCGAACAAACTATTCTCGCGGGCCATCATGATGAGCCTGCTGCTTGGTGACTGAAGCGCATCACGAGCTCAAAGACTCAAGGCCGATCAAGTTTTGCAAGGCCTAAGGTCTCGTAGCTCAGGCCCAGCATCATTCACGATTACCCGAGCGCAGGCCTGACATTGTCCAGAGCACTTGCCGCTTTTGCCCTCAAGAGTGGATGGTCGTGGCTTGAGCTGAGGGACTGAGGCTGAGGGGCTTGAGCTGGGGGGTTTGTCTACAGGCTGCAGAGATGGCAGAAGAATTTGCCAAAAACGCAGAGGCTTCTTTGCCGCAGTGGCTTCAGGCGGTTCGGGATGCTGCATACATCACACACACAAACACAACACCCCCACCCAGACAGACAGAGAGACGGAGAGACAGACAGACAGACAGACAGACAGACAGACAGACAGACAGACAGACAGACAGACAGACAGACAGACAGACAGACAGACAGACAGACAGACAGACAGACAGACAGACACAGACAGACACAGACAGACAGAGACAGACAGAGACAGACAGAGACAGACAGAGACAGACAGAGACAGACAGACAGAGACAGACAGAGACAGACAGACAGACAGACAGACAGACAGAGACAGACAGAGACAGACAGAGACAGACAGAGACAGACAGAGACAGACAGAGACAGACAGAGACAGACAGACAGACAGAGACAGACAGAGACAGACAGAGACAGACAGAGACAGACAGAGACAGACAGAGACAGACAGACAGACAGACAGACAGAGACAGACAGACAGACAGACAGACAGACACAGACACACACATGCATACTCACAGACACACACGCACACATGCATACTCACAGGCACACACGCACACGCACACACACACAAACACACACACACACAGACACACCCACACAGACACACACACACACAAACACACACACACACAGACACACCCACACAGACACACACACACACACACTCACACGCGCACGCAGACACACACACACAGACACACAGACACAGACACAGACACACAGACACACAGACACGCAGACACACACACACACACAAGACACACACAGACACACACACACACACAGGCACACACACACACAAACACACACACACACAGACACACACACACAGACACACACAGAGACACGCACACACACACAGACACACACAGACACAGACACACACACACAGACACACACACACACACACACAGACATAGACACACACACACAACACACACACACACACAGACAGACACGCACGCACGCACGCACGCACGCACGCACGCACGCACGCACGCACGCACACGCACACGCACGCACACACACCACACACACACACACACACACACACACACACACACACACACACACACACACACACACACACACACACACACACACACACACACACACACACACACACACACACACACACACACACACACACACACACACACACACACAACCACACACACCACACACACACACACACACACACCCACACACAACCACACACACACACACACAACCACACAACTACAACACCACACACCCACACCAACCACACAACCACACAAACCACACAACCACACCAACACACAACCACACAACCACACAACCACACAACACACAACCACACAACCACACAACCACACAACACACAACCACAACACACCACACACACCACACAACCACACAACCACACAACCACACAACACACACACACACAACCACACAACCACACACACAACACACACACAACCACACAACCACACCCACACAACCACCACACAACAAACCACACCACGCGCACGCGCACGCGCACGCGCCGCCGCGCCACGCCCGCGCCCGCGCGCCCCGCGCCCGCGCCAGCGCGCCCGCGCCCGCGCCCGCGCGCGCGCACGCGCGCCGCGCCCGCACCCGCACCCGCACGAGCACGCGCACCCGCACACGCACCCGCAACCACGCACACGCGCACGCGCACACACGCGCACGCGCACGCGCACGCATGCGCACGCGCACGCGCACGCATGCGCACGCGCACGCGCGCACTCGCACTCGCGCACGCGCGGACGCACGCACGCACGCACGCACGCACGCACGCACCCACGCATCCACGCATCCACGCACCCACGCACCCACGCACCCACGCACCCACGCACCACCTGCTTTTTGGAGTATATGTTTTTCTCTATGACCCGAGGCCGACTCTGCGGACATCTCTGACATGCAGAAGCTTTCGGTTGAGGCAGAGTGGAGGGACAAGACATGAGGGGCCGTCAGCTGCAGATGCCCGCTATGGCAGGCAGTGATGCATGCTCAGAAGGAAGGGCTGTACCGCCTGCGGCCCAGCACGTGCGAAGGGGGCTCGATGCGACACTCCTGCAGCCTTGCAGCCATGACGATTAACAACTGCATTGTCTTTCATCAAGCTCTTGCTCACCTCCCGCGATTGATTGGATTCGCTTGTTTTGGGAGTTGCGTCTGGCGGTGTCTAGTATTAGTCGTGTGCTTGCTGCGGTTGTTTCGTTCTCTGTGTTTGTTCATCCATGGTTGTGGCCAGTGTCAAAGGGATACGGTCCTGGTTACGGCCGTGGCCGGGGACATGACACTTTGTATGCTCATATTGTGGTTGCTGTGCTAAAACTGGTGAGTCGTTTAAGGTTGTTGCTGATAGTTGCTGGCATTTGAGCAAAGATCACAACCACCTTGCATTGCCATAGAAGGGGGGTGGTCATAAGGCCCCTCGCGCAAGGCAATCAGGTGGCGGCGCAAGGCCGTGCAAGTGTGTTGGGCAAGTGCAAATGGCGTGGCTAATCGCGCAAGCTACCCATGTTGCGTAAACACCTCAGCATAAGATTTCCTTACGATCTAGATTTGAGCAGGACGTTTTGAACACCTCATTTGTGATTCCAGTCCGGTTGTTGTTACTTGATGCTCTGAGGATTGTTCCCAACCATGGGCCCTGGATGGAGGGAACTCATGTTTGGCGGGACGCGGGCTCAGTTGTATCCTATGAAAGGGTGCCCAGCCGACATAACGCCGGACTCTTTTTCAGTGCAGCTTAGTTTGAATGGGTTGCAGCACGGTCTACGTTACAGGTCACTTCCTGAAGTGGAGCCGGAGCCAGCGCTTGCCTCAGGCCATTGCACTTGTATGCATCCTTCGCTGCAAATGCCACGCCGCATGCTTGAGCATCTTTTCACGGACCGCCGTCTGCCCAAGCTTCAACCTCAATGCAGGATACCCGCACTGCTCACAGGAGGCAGGCGGCAGGCAGCAAAGGCACGTCGACAGGCTTTGGAATTGGGATTGTGAACCTGAGCCTCAGCCCTGTAATGAGCCCAAGTCGTCAGTCCTCTTAGCCCTTAGTCTGGCCATTGCTCAAGACTTTCATGCCTTCTCGAGTTTCTCCAGCCATGCTCCGGCATTCCCGGCATGCCGGTGCAGCTCCCTCCTCTCTCCGACAGTGCGCTGTGCCGCCTTGCTGCTTGCCGCGGGTGTGTACCTCAGAGTGGCTCAAGCCGGGGTTTGCCAGCTGAGAGCTCGGCAAAGCATTTTTTCCGATCATAGCCAGTCATGTCAGCATTTTTGCTCATAGCACCTTTTCAAGCTCAGCTTTGATTGGGGAGAGTGCCTGACCTGCGCAGCTACTTTGCTTCAATCAGCCTCCAGCCAGACAGAGGAACAGGATGGCCGCCAGAGCACTCGTGCTTGCGAGCGCCTGTCTGGAGCCCTTTGTGAATGCGGGAGTGGCGTTCCCGGAGCCGACGGTTGAGATTCAGAAGGTGCCTTTGACTGCGGAGCAGAAGTGGATGGACGACAATTGGCCTGGTTACCACAATGGCGTGAACATTGGCGGGCACCTAGTGATAGAGAATTGGATGTTCATGCGTGCCGAGCCACCGTTTCAAGATGCCCATCTTCAGCTGGATTACTCCAAGGTCCCCATGTTCAACAACAACATGTGGTCCAACGCAAATCTGGCAGAATCCCTTCACAACCTCAGGGGCTCAGACAGGCTTGCAGTGGACACAATGTGGTGCCACATGGATAAGTACTACACCGATGAGATGCTGGATGAGTTTGCATCGTTTGGCATCAACTCCGCTCGTGTACCATTGGGCTACTGGATTTTTGATGACCCGGAGCTCTTTCCAAATGATCCATGGCCAGTTCCCCTCACCACCGGATCTCAGCCCTACGGTGTGAATCCAGAGGGCTTTCTGACGCCGGGCACGCTGGCATTGTCGAATCTCATCGTCAGACTGTGGAACCGGAACATGAAAGTGATGCTAGACATGCATGCTCTCCCAGGATGTAGCACTCCTCATCAGTCCTATGCCGGCATCGAGTGCGCACCCAAAGCTCCCAATTTTTGGGCAGGCTTGGCGGAGCAAGGCATTTCGAATCCCAATGGGCCCAATCACACAACCACTCGTTCCAAAGATGGCAAGACGTGGGCAGATGTTTACCACAAGCTCGCGGTGGAGCGTGTCGTTCCGTACATCGATTTCATCAACAGCATCTTACCGGGTGCGGTAGTTGCTTATGAAATGATGAACGAGCCAGACCTGCTGCAACATGACGCCACTGCTGCAGCAGTTCGGACTTCGACAGTTGACCTGGCGAAGGATATGATGTCTTTGGAGAATGTCGCTTTCGGCCTAAATGACGGTGCCCACAACTATGGCACCGACATCATGTCTGACGACTTGCTGACGACTCCGGAGTACAAGGACAGGTATTGGCTTGACATTCATCACTATTTCAACTGGCCTGCCATGTGCAATGTCTACGGGGAGGAAAGCTACATCGACATTGCTTGCGTTTGCGAGGCGAACGTTCCGAACACCACACACCAGTACGAGCAAGGGGCTTGGGCAAACTTCATGAAGAAGGGCCTGCTGGATGATGGATATCGCTTGTACATAGGTGAGTGGAGTGCTGGCTTACAGGTGGCCCGCAATTGCAACAATCCGACTAAGCTCCCCAACGCAAAGCAGGCGCAGGTGATGTGGCGAGCGCAGAAACTGTCCTTCCTCACGCAGTACTTACATTACCAGGGTCTCGCAGCGCAGAAGCAGTCCTCCTTCCTTGGTGACTTCTACTGGGCTGGCCGCATGGGCCATAATTGGAATGCGGACCCATCAGTCTGCTGCTGTGGTGAGGATCCCAACTGGGTGGACTTCGAGTGGTGGGATTGGAGCCTTCTCAATATGATCAGGCCAGCCTTTCCGAGCCTCCAAAACTTATGGAGCAAATTTGCTTACTATGTGAATCTATGTGATCTGTTTGGGACGTAGGCCAATTCTTCCCTGAGGCGAATTCCGCCACCAATCTTTGCCGCATGACACACACATGGTTCAAGCTGTGCGGTGGTTTGAGTTCAGCTTTGCACTTGCACGTTGACTCTGCACTTGGCCAGGCTAAATCTTGCCCAGCCGATGTCCAAGTTGGGATGGACGCCTGAGACGATCGAGCAGCACAAGGGCAATGCCTGCACAGGTTCCTTCCGCATCAACTGCGGCCCCTTCTAACAGCGTTTCAAAAGCAAAATAAAAGAAATGGTGGAGGCCAAAGGCCCTTGTTGCGCCGTGAGAGGTGTCGCACAGTGGCCCCCTGCTTGGTCTAAGACTGACGCTGGGCATCGTTTTGTGCATGTAGATCGTTGATGGGTTAATCGTTAACCGTTCAACCTTGCGAATGCAATTGGTAGATATCACATGCGGACATCCGCAACTGACCTTGCATGACTGGCGAAACTTGCCCGAGTCACTTTTGGGCTGCTTGCGACGAAGTGCAGCGGCTGAGAGGAAAACAACTGGCGAGGGTGCAACGCGAAGGCTTACCAAAGGCTACATTGCAGCTCTCTGGCCAGAGACCCCCCGCTTTGCTCGGCTTTGCTTGCAATTGCGAGGTCCTTGGTGGCCGCCTTTGGAGATGGAAGACTCTTGCCTGCAGCCGCAACCTGCGTGCGTACGTCGGGGGGCACGAGCAACCGCTGGAAGTTGAGCAATTGCCAACGTGCCTGGGTTTTCTTCTCGCTGTGCCGCAGCCGAGACGGGTCTGAACTGCATGCGGGTTTGTTGCACTTATTCTTTTCTGTTGCCCAACCTTGAGACAGCACCCAGCAGGTCCAGATGCAGGTTGTCCTTGCTTTCCCAGGTCTGGCCAGATACGGATCTCGCGGTGTCTTCGGCCATGACTTTATCATGCGGGCAGTGTGCAGTGGACATGGGGCTCTCATTTCAAGATCCCCAACGAGGTGTAGCTTCCTAGATGTTCCTGAAAGGGCACCGCTGTCAGGCGCAGCCGAGCTACCGGCAAGTCGGGTGTCAGGTCTGCAGCTGGAGCAGCGCTGGCAGCTGCCCGAAGCAGCCTGCGCGCTTGCAGCCGCTGCGCTGCCGGGGGTGGTTGCCCTGGCAGGCCCAGGGATACTGATACTGCCTTCAGATCTCAGTCTGGGCCAGGGCAACCCTTGGAAAGGCAGGAGAGTGCACTTGCATTCCAAACCTCGTGGAGATTAGGACAGCACACCCAACAATGACCCTGGACTGGACAACGTAAGGCACAGCCAACACTACAATGAAGTGCCAAGCAAACTTTTGTATGTCTTGTACGCACACAAAGGCCCGCTGACTCCTTCTGTGGACCTGGCTCTGGCCTTGCATGCAGGCACGCGGTCAGGCGACCTATTTGCAGCAGGCCCTGGAGAAGAGTTGGCCTCTGCGGGTGCTGTGTTGCTTGGCGACCAGTGCTTACAACACTTTCTCTAGCAGCAACATGCTGCCATGTTTGTTGAAGCGGAGCAACATGGTTCACGCGGCTGTGTTTCCTGGGGCAGGGCTGCTGGGAGCTTTACTGCACCCGCACCCACACGCACGCATGCACACGCCCGTGCTCACAAGTTGATGCACTCAATGTGCAATGTCTGTGGCCATTGACTTGCACCAAGGCTGGCTCCAGCCTACGTGACTGCACTTCACGTTGGTCCCCCCACAGACGGTCTTGGAGGCTGTCTGCTTTCATTGATGCTAGGCCAGGCTGAGAGTTTGCACAGGAATGGACATTGCCAGGCATCCTTGACGCCGAGGGCAAGGAAGGTCCGCGGGCCCTATTTATCGCTGGTAGCGATGGCCGCATCTTGCGGGCCTGGTTGCCGGAAGATGCTTCGAGTTCGCACGTCGCTGAGCTGCTAGCAGGGGCAGCAGCGCCCCGCCTATTCGAGCGCCAGTTGCGCATTTGTTCGCTTAGCGTCAGTGCAAGGAAGAGGATTATTTGCCCAGTGCTGAGGTGTGTGCCGAAGTCTTGTCGCCAGTCCTGGCGTTGGAGCTTTGCACACGGACTTCCCGTTTGCTGGCTCTCACCCCAGTGGCTTTTGCAATGCCATCGTGGGATATTTAATATCATGCCTCCTTGGAGGTCTCCACATCCGAGCGCGTTGCTGTGCTGTCAGATGCCTTGGCGGCAGAAGTAGCGCCAGTGCGTTGGGCGGGACGCTGAGTGGCTTCGAGTGGCTTTGGCGCATGCCACCTGAGCGTCTCAGGTTGGGTCAAAGCCTCACAAAGGCAGCCTCACTGCAACCTTTGGACGCTTGGCTGGCGGCAAACTCCGGATGTGCCGTGGTATTTTGCCGCTGCAATGTCCAAGGAAGCTACTTCGGTCCAGAAGCCATAATTGCCCCTCGACGGGGTGGGCGTCTGTGGGTCGCCGATGGCAGTGGGACTGTGCAGTGAGAGGCTTAGTTGCTCAGGGCAGGTTGGCCGGGTTTGTAATTCCAGGGATTGCTGGTCACTAAAGGACAACTTTGATATTTCAGAACGCAAGGGGGGAGAAGGCAGGGTGCTTCAAAGGATCTTGTCTTTTGGAGCCAAACCATGGATTTGGGGCCACGAAGCTAGTTGTGAGCATGGTGTGTTCCCTGAAGGTGGCTCTCGGACACTTGCTTCCTCTCAAGCATGACTGCGTGCTCAGCTTCGTGCGGCATGATGAGGAGACACAGACTTCTGTCGGGCCACCAGCCCCTGGCCTCCAAAAAATGAACAGTACATGCAGCTTTTGTGTTGCTGGTGGCTGGCTTGGCAGATCTCGAAGCACTTGAAATATGTCAGGCTGTCCTTCTAGATTTGGAGGCAATTGCAATCAGCCACCAATGGCCTGTGCCACCAGCGGCTTGCTTGCAGCCATGCAGGCTGGCGTCATTTGTGGAAGCTATGATCGGATTTGGGATAGCACACCTAGAATGGTTTGTTCCTGTTGCTCCCCGACACATTCCCAGATCATCATGAGTACTATGTGGATGCCTCTTCATCAACACAAACCTGCCACTGTGGAGAAATTGCTCGAGCTCAAACACATCTCTCCTTGCGGCTTGCACGGGAACAGGGGATGCCAAGGTCGTGGATGCAGTGCCGTGGCATGGCGGCGCGCTGCTGGCACACCCCCATGCGCTGTCCCTGCTGTTGGCGGATGAGAAGCTTGTCAAGCAGTGGTTGTATGGCAGCTCTCCATTTGCACAAGCTCGCTGCTCGCTGACTCTTGAGAAAAGCTGTTTCCGAGGCCTCAAGCTGCGTGTGACTGATTTGCATATAGAGTGCGTTCAGCTGTCCAGGACTTGTTTGAGACTTGCGGTGCTGTCCTAAGGGTTGCCACAAGGCGCAGGGTGTGTGATGCAGCCGAGGCCAAGCCCTAGTGGCAACACACAACCTTGGCGACGCTGCTGCCCTGGCAGCATGTGTGCAGGAGGTACTGAACCTACGGCTACTCAGAGGCAAAGAGTAAGCGAAGCGTTTGCTCCGTGGCACTGACCGTGTCACACTTGTTTCTTTCTCCTTCTCCTTATGCATACTGAGGGAAGCACTGGATTCTACTGGCGCAGGTGATGTCCTTGAAGGCGCTGAGATGTGCTTTGCTCGTTTTGGCGGGCACTGTCACTGAGGCTTGGCCCCACTTTTTGACGCGGTGGACGCTATAGAAGTGGCAAAAGCCACCGAGTTGCGGCAATGGGCTCCTCAGCTGAGAGCGCATCGCACGCCGAATGAACCGAAATGCGTCTCGAGTCCCAAGGTGGCTGACCTGGAGGAGAGATGGCCTCTTGACCAAACTGGGACCACTGGGATGGCCTCTTAACTGGGCAAAGTTTAGCGGGAGGGATGTGCGAAGGCTGTTCCATCTCCGAGAAGAAGCTCTGGCCGAAGGTGTGGCAATTCCACTGTGAGAAGTTGCACCCCACCTGGGCAGGCAAGCAGCATGACTTCATTCGCCTGATAGATGCCCCCCTGTCCAACTTTCCGACAGCGGCCTGGGAAGTTGACGACGAAGAGATCGATGGCAAGAAGGACGTTCCTGCGCGTAGTTGGAAGACTGGCCGCAAGATATTGCCACAGGATGAAAAGTCCACCGGGGATGGAGATGAAGAAGGCCTGAGAGCCGGTGATGTGAAGGGCCCATGGGCAGGGCTATGCTCAGGACTTCTCATTCCGTACCTGTGGCAGCAATGCCTGGAACGCACGGATTGTGTGGCTTGACGGCACTTGGCCATCTCAAGCAAGCGTTGTCGCCGGTATGCCGGACCTGTTCACGCATTCATGCAGTTCGCATTGTTTTGAGTTGCTGAGGGTTTCTTGCAGCCCTTGTCGCTTTTCTCTACTCCTGTGCAACCCTTAATTTCTCTTCTTGCCACTTCAGGTTAAACCTGCCGGAGATTCGACATTCCGTCCTGCAGTGCTTTCTCACATCATTCAGGTGGGAGCAGCTCAAGCGGATGTGATGACCTGCGATTTGCTTCCTCCAGCCTGCAGGCGTTGGAAGCACCAGGGCGGAGCAAGGCATCAGAAGCGGCAAAGTTCATGCCATGGCTGATGGCAAGGCGAGGGTCTTGAAGGCAGTCGATTGCCCCTCCCCACTATTTCAACAGCAAGTGAAAGGAGGGCTGGTTACTCATTGCTTCCAGAACCTGCGAGGATGAAGGAAGACACTCACCTGGCAGAGCCAGCTGCGCTCTTGCTCGAGCTGCTCTGTTCCTCGCAGGAGGACGCGGGGTGACAAGACATGAGGGCAAGCGTGAGGCTTCTTGAGCATGATATGCACAATCGGGATACTTGCCCGGTATCCGTTTTTGCCGTTGGCACCGTTTGGCCTTGGCACTTCGGTGGGGGTGGGCAAAGTGTGTTCAAACCTGAGAGGAATCGACAAAAGGATGTTCAAATATGTGTTCAACATGAAGCGAGGGGTTGACCCAACCACAACATGCCCGCAAGATGCCACCCGCTAGGCTTGGCCTGGCACTGGGCTTTCCGTGTCGCGTGGTTCAGCAGAGCCGTGGTCAAGGCCAGGTGCAGATGAAACGGAAACTGGGCATTAGGTGTCAAGATGCATTTGAGCAAACGTGTGTGGAGTTGTTTTAGGCTTAGCAGAAAGTGCTCCCTCAATGGCCACCAGCACAAGCACTCTCGTTTGTTTCTTTGCGATTCTCCAGCTGACATGGTAGTCCTAGGGAGCAGCTGATGACAGCTGCTTTGACATGCGACGCGAGTGCAGCATTCGGACTTTGTCAGCACTGACCCTTGATCGCAAGCAAATCAGTAGTGTCGTACCTTTTCAGCTGCTGGCTTCAACCGTCCACGCGCTCAGGTCTAATGTTGGCAAATTGCGAACTGTTGGAACGATGCCTATTCTGGATTAATGGCATGGTCGCACAGGCAAGCTACTTGGCTGATGTACGTGTTGATGACAAACCGTGTGCCGCATCATTACACTATTGAGCCAGGACAATGTGGTTGAAAGTTCATGCATGGGAGAGATGTCAAAGTTGGTGACCCATTTCTTCTTTACGACAGAGCTGCAGCAAGATGAGCCGTCTTTTGGTTGAAGCAGGGCTCCGAAACTGTGCCTATTGGACATTTTGGCCCAGACTTGGCAGATCAAAGCATTTGCTGCCCGGACCCGCCAGCAACTTCAGCTTACATGGGTTTCCGTATGTACTTGTAGGTCACAGGTGTCTCCGACTGCATGGGCCGATTGCTCAAGCAATCTTGCGGCAATGAGGTTCTGATGGCTGGCTTGAAGTTTTCAACTGGGTCAAAAGACGCTTAGAATCCACCAGCTGTGCAGCTTTGCCGACAGCTTGGAATGAGGCCAGGCCTTGAGCTTGATTCTTGAGAGTGTCTCCAGTATGTTTCGCTTTGGCTCCTCTCTCGCTGCGCGGAGGCCTTGAAAGTGGCTCGCAGCAGCGTTTGGGCCGCCCACAGGCTGCTGCAAGATGCACTGTCGCCGCAGAGCATGGTCAACGTGCGCTGGGCGGCTTAGATCCGAAGCATCGCAGCATCCGAAGCATTTGGAGGGAAGTCACGGTCACGCGAACTTGCCTTCCGAAAGGTGACGTCTTTGACGCTGCTGCAGATTTCTTTCCGAAGGCGGCCTGACCTTGGACTGTGCCAGTGAGTTCTTCTGTGCCCAGTGGCTAGGTGCTTCCTTGGAATATTGCTGACTGGATGGCCTGGGCGTTTCAGCCACCTGGATTTTCACAATGCCATAGATTCACCGTCCCTTTCCGGGTAGCACCAGCTCAAAGACGCTCACCCACTCATGGCACCCACCGAAGGCCATCCCCACAGCGACAGGCATGCCAGCGGCGGGTCGTCGCCTCAGCCCCAGCTTAAGCCTTGCAAAAGCTGGCGCCCTTGTCACCCAGGAGACTCTTCTAGACGAGCTGCCGTACTATCTGTTGAGATTGTTGCCGACTTGCAGCTGGCCCAGCAAGACCCCCTCATAGACACTAAATCATTCGGCGCTAAATCATTCGGCACTTCAGTGATTCAATTTGCTTTGGAGGGACGGGTAGACAGAGTTTATGTACGTGCCACTCCTTCTTGACATCTTCCTTTTTCGCTCAGCTGGAATCAAGGCAAGCGGCCTGACATGCTTCGAGATGTTATGGCGGTGGCGCTGCACAGGCGGCCTTTCGAGAGCCTAGCGCCAGAAGTACCGCTTCACGTGAGCTGCCCAACTGGCAATACTTTTCGAGGTCACTCTTCTTTTGGTTGCTTCAGTTTTTCTTTCTTTCTCCGTCCCTTTTTCGACAGCAAACTGCGACTGCTTTGGGCTTTCCATGTAGCATGGCCAAATATTTCCATTAGTTTTTTGTTGTTCCTAGCAGCAACCTAGCATGAAAGTTGCCGCTTGTCAAGCTTGAGGTAGGACATTGTCTGCAAGCAGACTCGCTGTTGCGCTTTGGAAGCCACGAGCTTTGCTGCCAGCTGCATCTTGGTTCATGTGGCCGCGTGAACTTTGGTCAGGGCGGTTGGGTATCGGCCATGCAGGGTTGGTTAATTGGTGATTCATGCTTGGTAGATGCTCGGACCGTCCGGACCTTTTTTGGTAGTTTTGGCATTGCCTCAGAACCACCCAACACCATCTCAATAACATCCTGGCAACCCAACTTCGACAGCCCACCCCAGCCCACCCCACCCCACTCTGCCCCAACCCAACCCGAATCCCACTCTGCCCCAAGCCAATCCTAATCCCACTCGCACCCGCCCGCCCGCCCGCCCACCCACCCGCCAAGCAGATCAATTCATGACTGGAAAACAGGCATATTCACACCACTGCAGCACGAGTGAGAGAGAGAGAGAGAGAGAGACCGATAGAGACAGAAAGAGAGAGGGGGAGAGATATGCAGCCTTGCGAGCGCCTCAGCCCGCCAATACCTACGTCATCTGAAATCAAAGCCACACCCACTGTGGGTAAATGCTTTACGCTATTCGAAGCCTTCGGCTTCTTGACAGACGCACAGCCAGGGATGGCGCTCTTTGTAGGCCTGTGGGACCCTGTGGGTAGGTGATATGCCTGCCAAGGCGCTACCCGCTGGGCCTTGCGCATTTGACGTTGTCTGGCTTTGACGTGTCCAGCTGCCAAGCCTGCTGCATGGATCAAATCCGGGAGCTGAACTCTCGCTGCCTCCGCAGCCTGACTGGAACAGTGGATGGAAAGGACCTGCATGGACCTGCTGACTTGAATCCATAGCTATCAAGCCCCTGTGTTGCCGAGGAAGCCACCAGGCAGAGGACCGACCCGAGCTTCAATGTTGCTTGACAGCATGGCATTCTTCGCAGGACCTTGACCTGACAGATGACGTGTTTGACAAGGCTTGGTTGTACCTGCGTTCTTCACCATGCTTCGCGCACGATTTAGTCCTTATCTCGAGTTTATCTTGATCCCAGATGCTTTCCATGCTCGTGGTTCCAATGAAGCAGAACAAGGAAGAAGACATTGTGCCTTGGCTGCAGCGAGGTGAGTTGCTTCCTGCTCTCGGACCTGTCACACTTGCAGGCAGAGCAGGTGAGGACTTGCCCGATTTGCAGTGCACAGGGTGTGCCATGCCCGGCACAAAGCGGAAGCGGTCGCGCAGGCGGGTGGAAAACAAAAGAACATCGCTTGCGGGGATGTTGCAACTTGGCAGGTAAAGCAACGCGGGTGCGGTGCCACGATGGCCGCATCAACCTGTGGCACGATCTGGCAGTGGAGCTGTGGCTTGGCAGAAGGCATGAACGTGGAGCCTTAGCGCGGGCAGTAGCTGCCGCTCAAACGCTGCAAGGAGAAGGCTATCTTCCTCGGGCTCATGCAGACAAAGAGCTGCGCAGCGCTGGCGCCACGCCCCCTGGACGCGCAAAAGATTGTTGGGTACGCACCTTCGCCGCCAGAGGGGCCTTTGCTTCAGCCTTTGCTTCAGCCTTTGCTTGAGCCTTTAATTTGCCCTCAAGAACCTAAGGTTCTTGACGTGGCGAGCTCCTCAAACCCAGGTCTCTTGGCAGCCCTGGTGGCGCTGGCACCGGATCGCGCTGCAGCAGAGGCACGCGCTCATGGCTTTTGCGAACGTTGGACGGGCGCTTCGTTAGAATTTGTCGGAAAGAACGCTTTCAGCGTGCCAGCTTGAATCACGAGAAGCTTTGTGGCAGGTCTGCCTGCATGCGCTCACTGCTGATGCCAATCAGCCAAAGCATAGCGCAGGACACGGTGCCCGGGGTTCCCATGGCTCCTTATGGCTCCCAGACGAAATTTCCTCAAGAGATGTAAAGGAGACGTCTTGAAGGAAGCTGTGCAAGCGGACAATGCCCCGAGGAGCAGATGACTTGGCCTCCGCCGCGGAGGCCCTTTGGCAAAGCGCGCTGGGGGAGTGGTTGGAGCTGCCGTCGCGGCAAAAGGCGGGGCATGAGTTTTCTCGATAATGAGCTTCCCATCTGACGCTTCCTCTCTCCCCTCTCTCCCCTCTCCCTCCTCTCCCTCCTCTCCCTCCTCTCCCTCCTCTCCCTCCTCTCCCTCTCCTCCCTCCCTTCCCCATCCCCTCCCCTCCCAGTCGCGCAAGCGTTAAACTTGCAATCACTTCATGCAGTTGTGCGCACATGGACTCACGCAGTCATGCACATACTGTCTTTCTCTCTTGATATCCATAGCTCTCCCTTTCTTTCTCTCTCTCTCTCTCTCTTTCTTTCTTTCTTTCTTTCTTTCTTTCTTTCTTTCTTTCTTTCTTTCTTTCTTTCTTTCTTTCTTTCTCTCTCTCTCTCTCTGTGTCTTTTGGGGGAGTGGTCGCGTGTGCACAGAATCTCCGTATTGCGTTGCGAGTGTGCGGAATGCATATTGGGTTATTCAGCCTTTGACAGCCCCGTGCGGCATTGATTTAGTTAACAGAGACCCAGGGCGTGACTTGTAAGGTTATCAGGTTTGCAGCCCTCCTGTTGCGTCGTCGTGCAGGTGTCTGTTCTAAGGCCCCAGGCGGACGTGTATGCTGAAGAGATCCGGGGGCACATGTAGGAGCCATGGTTTCACAATTTCACAATGTTTAGAAAGCAGCGCGAGGAACAAAACAGGCTCTGGCGTTGCGCTTTGACTTGGCCGCCAAAATGTCACAAGATACACCCGAGGACCCGAGCGATGCTGGGCTTTTCAAGCTTCCAGACGGTGGCTGCCTCCGATCTTTCCAGTGGGGGGGACCTCGGGACCATTTCAGCGCCTGGGGGCGGCTTTGAGGCCATGAAGTTCATGGCTGGCCCATGCCAGTGGGAGACTCGAGCGCATGATAAAAATTCGATGCTGGTGGCCTCGGCCCACTGCGCGAAGCTTGGGAATCACAATTTGGGTTTCAGGTGGCTGTCGTGGATGGTGAGTTCCTCAAGGAGACCCCTGCTCGCACGCAACACACACACACACACACACACACACGCACGCACACATACATACATACATGCATACATGCATACATGCATACATGCACATACGCACAAACACAGACACGCAGACACACAGACACACAGACACAAGCACACAGACACACAGACACACAAACACACAAACACGGAATCACGGAAACACAGACACACACAAACACAAGCGCACACACACACAACTACATACAAACATACTTACGTACATGCATACATACATGCATACACGGGCCTGTGTTTTTGCAGTCATTGTGCAAACAGATAATTTGGCACTTCCTGGAAGATATGTCGGGTTATTTGAGTGTTAGTACGCAGATCTCATGTGGCTGATTGATCCAACCGCACATGTAGAATGAGAAGTGTCAGAAAACGCAAAATGCTGCAAAGCGATAGGGGGCTCACAAACTAAGTGGCGAAACAGCCGCAAGTAAGTCATTTCGAACTTGCCTTACATGAGCCAGGAGCCGCCTTTGCAAGCACTCGCTGGCGGTGTTGCCAGCCATCTCGTGCCCAGCCTCAGCAAGAATCATGCAACCAAGTGGTCCGCCAAGCAAACATTTTCTCGAGATGTATGTGAAGCCCAGCGGCAACGTTGCCGAGGATATTATTGTGGGAGGCAACAAGCAGGAAAACAGCCGCTTGGCAGCTGCTTGTATTTCGACGTTAGCCAGTGGGGGGCGGGACTTGAGCACAAGCGTTGCAGAAAGTCTCTCCATGAGGCTTCAAACCAATCTCGGAGGAGGCGAGGGGCACATCCAACCAACTCCATACGCTGCATCAATGCCAGGAGCCATGGCGAGCGTGCGATGGAAGCAGCAGCCTCGGTAGGGAGCGATGGGATGAGTGCTTTTCAATGGGCGTACATTTGCCTGAACCGTGGTACCTGCTTAGGGCCTAGAGGTGTCTCTCAGGTGACTTGTGGTGTGAGACCATGTTTATAGGCGGTGTTCAGGTGATGCGTACGGCAACATAGAACAAACATAGCCATCCTGAGAGCCAGATGTTTTTTGTTCGTTTGGAAACTGTTTGAAGCACTTGGGCCATATCACTTGGCAATTCCTGTTGGCGAGCAGGTCTGATGAGTTTGAGCATTTTGCTTTCAGCGAGCTGGAGGGTTGTTGTTCAGCCTGCCGCTGCTGCTGTGCGCTGGGGCTGCGGCCAGTAGTCTCCTCTCCCCTGGCAGGGCAGACCCTGTCTCTCTCATAGGTTCAGGGCGCTTCGTGGCGCAAGACGAGAGCCGAGAAGACATGGTGGTGCGCTTGGCCTTCCCAAACACGTTTCGGCTGATCCGCGGTTGGGTAATTCGGGTGTGGTGCCGTGTGGTGCCGTGTCTGCATGCTGGCGCGCGGATGCCAGGCTTGGGAGATCGCAGGATGCCCTGCCTTGATCCGTGCACCTTTCAAGGCGGATTGGGACATTCGCGTGCCTTCACTCCAGCCTGACTGTTCAACGCCTCTGCCAGGATGCCAAGCAGGTGATAGAGACACAGGTCATCCCCGTGTGGCACTGAGTTTGGATGAGAGTACAGAGCTCGCGCTGGTCTGGATCCAAGCTGCAGGCCTACGAGAAAGAGCTGGGCGAAGGCTGCAATTGAAATACATCTGAGATTCCATTAGTGTGGACACCTTCCAGTAGCCACTGTGCGTTGTGCCGGATTGAGTTTGCCGAGCAGGTGCAGGGAATCCGCAGCTTTTGAATGATACCATCGTGTCAGACTTCTCATTCCTTGCCAAGGCTCGTAGCCTCGCTGGGATTGAATCGAGGCGGTCGGAAGGCTCTCACTTCGTCGGCAGGTGCATCTCGTTGCGCAACGTTTGGACCTCAGCGATAGTCAGCGACCAGCGCAAGTCCGATGAGTTGGACATCAGCCAAGGCCTATCCAGGAGAGGATGCTGCCGATCTGTCTACCGCTACCAATTCGAAGGCTACAGGTCCAGCAAGCTTTCTTGATGGGACGTGTTCCATTGTCCAATTTCCTGTTCATTTGGGGTTGGTAGGGATTGTCATCAACTCCTCACGCGGGATTCTAGACCGCCACTGTAATGTACATGAAGGTTCCCATCAAGGGAACCATCTCAAAGCCTCACATAAGGAAGTTTGACCCATAGCACAGGTGCTGATCGTTGAAGCACGTCATGGATGTGAGTGTGACTGAAGGTTTCTGCATTGCCGATAGCCTAGCCTGCAATGCTGCAAGTTGCCAGGGGGTCTGATGCCTTCCATGGAGCAGAGTTGCTAACTCAGACGAGCACTGTCGCCTGGGACAGCTTATGTTGGGCAGCTTGGGTGCTGCGGGCCAAACGCGACCCTTGCAAGATGTGACGATGCGTGGCACCGTGGCGTTTTGGCATGAGGCTTTCTTTGCTTTTGGGCGTGCTGGGTGACGGAACTGCGTGCCCCTCAGCATGAGAAGGGTTTGCACAAGTTCACCAGGGAAAGAAAGCCAGCGTGAAATCGGCTTTATGTGCAGCCATTGAGAAAGCACCTCAATGACTAGGCAAAGTTTGGGCATTCTGCCTCATCATTCATCAGTGTCAAAAGTGCAGGACTGGCAGTCCTAGCGCTATGCGCATGGGTGGGACAACTGCCATGTCATGTTCGATGCCTCTTCTGAAGCACGAGAAGGACGGCCATGCACTTCAGAGCTTCGCACGGACTGGAGGCGAGCAATATGGTCAGCTGAATGTGTCATCAGGTTTGCACTGCAAGCCGACATCATATGCTGCAACACGGCCGCTAGCGGGCTTGCAAAAGCCAAGCAATGGCAGAAGGGCTTGTTGCTTCTTAGAAGGGTACGCCTCCAGGCCCTGCGCTTGGACTTGGCCAGCTACAACACTGCCATAAATTTGTACAGGGCCAGCAACTGGCAGAGTTCGCTGGATGTTTTGGCCGCTCTTGAGCAGAGGAACCTGGAGGCAACACTGGTTAGCCGTGGCACTTTGGCGGCTTGCGGCCGATGGCGAATCTCCATCCAGCAGCTGGAGCGGTCGTCGATGGCCAACATGCGCCTCATCAACGCGGCCAGCAGCGCAGCCGGACGCACTGAGCAATGGGAGACAGCTCTGCTGATGCTTTCGGAGGCGGCCTTACGACTTGTTGAGACCACTGACGCAAGCTACACGGTTGGTCTCACGCTTGGGCATGGTCGGCATAGCTCTTGGCAGCGCTCCTGTGGGTTAATGAAAGGCATTGGCGAGCGCAGATTGCGGACAAGCGTGATCACATTCAATGCAGCCATCAGCTCCATCAAAGAGCAATGGAACCTTGCGCTCTTTCTCTTATTTTCCTTGTCTCACCTTCAACTCGCTGATGTGGTGACTTGCACTTCTGCCTTGAATGCATGTCAAAAGGCTTCTCAGTGGCAGTGGGCCTTCCAACACTGTCAGCACAGACAGCGCTCAAGCTGCACTGCAACTTGCAATGTGGCAATCAAGGCGATAAGCTCATGCTCCGAGACCATGTGGCCAACCGCAGTGGAAATCTACAGGTGTTTGCGGGCCACCCGGTCTGCCGACATCCTGACACTTGGATCGACAATCTCCACATGTGCGGGGGCCGTGTGCTGGGGGATATCCATTGCGCTGCTCGACGATTTGGAAGGTCCTTCGGAGCTCTCGGCAGGGACTTCTGAACACGTGGCGGTCTCTTCTGCCATAAGCGCCTGCGAGAAGACAGGGCGCTGGCAAGCAGCTCTGCACTTGTTACATCGCCTGCGCGCCCGTTCCCACGCCGATGGCATTGCGCACAACGCCGCCATCAGCGCATGTGGAGGGTGCTCCAAGTGGGAGGAGAGTTTGAGCGTGCTTGAGCAGCTTCACAGTAGCCAATTGAGAATGGAGATTGTCAGCTTGAATGCTGCGATTACCACGTGTGATAGGGCCAGTCAGTGGCAACGGTCTCTACTCCTGTTGTTTGGCATGAGCTCGTTGAGGCTTCAGGCGAACACTGTCAGCTATAACGCAGCCATCAGCGCGTGCGCTGCAAGCTTGAGCTGGCAGTGCGCTCTGTGCTTGTTGGCTGACTTGCATGAGTCAGAAGGCTTGCAGCAGGACATTGTCACCTATTCCGGAAGCATGAGTGCCTGCATTCGAGCAGGTCGCTGGGAAAAAGCGCTTGCAATCTTTGAAGATGGGCATGAAATACATGAATCTGGGCAGAATGTGAGCTTCAACAGTGCAGTGGCAGCATGCAACGGCGGTGGACTTTGGCAAGCTGCATTGCAGATAATTTTTTCCGGCGTGCAAACGGACGTCATGTCCTACAACGCAGCCAGCAGCACCTGTGGCGCCGTGCTGAAATGGAAGGAACCTCTATTTCTGTTGGCCAAGCTGCGAGGTGAAGGGCTTGCTGACGACATCACGTACAGCGCGTTCGCGGCAGCAGCTGACGCAGCCATGAAATGGCAGTGGGCAATGCTGCTCATGCCTGAGCTAAAGAGCACCTTGCCGGAAAGGCCCTGGGCTTTCGCGGCGCTGATCAGCACATTTGCCAAGAGCTTTTGCTGGTCGCAGGCTTTGTCAACCATTCAGCATGCCGAAGAGATCGGGCTGGACATGTTTGAATCCTATGAGGCGCTTCTTTCCGCGTTTTCCCGTGCTTATGTTTGGCAACAGGCGCTTTGTTTAGTGGCAAGTTTCGAGGCAAGGAGCTTGCTTGCCAATGTCTTATTCTACAAGGCAGCATCAGAATTCTTCAGCACGTGCCATCGGCTAAGGACTGCAGAGTTCTTGGCAAAGGTAGAAGCAGAAAGCACTTTCGGCTTGCAGAGAAAAGCCGTGGCATTGGGCAAAAAACGAGGGGCCTTTGTGTTTCGGCGTGTGGGAGATGGCTTGAGAGGGCACGTGTGGTGGAGCACGTTTGCAAGTGAATTTGTCAAGGTTGCCTTGGCTGTTTTCTATCCCGCCTGCACGCCGAGACCCGCCTTGGCAGCTTGGAGGTGCGAAAGCAGCATCGACCTCAGCTGAACTAAACATGGGTGTTTGCTGCATTGTTTGGAGACGAGATTCATGCGAATTTTCGCGGGAAGCGGGGAGCGAGAGGAGGAAAAGATAGGAAGGAAGGGAGGGAGGGAGGGAGGGAGGAAGAGAGAGAGAGAGAGAGACAGAGAGAGAAAAACAGACAGACATGAGTACGAAATAAATGCATTCCTTTGTGCAGAAAGACAAACTAAGAAAGGAAAGAGCCTCGAACATTGTCGGATCTTCGCCGCAGCCTTTTGCAATCATTTGCTCCTTTTGTCGTAGTTGCGCAGCAGAAGGATGTTCTCTGTCGCCCCACCGAAGGCCGCTCGGACGTTATCTCATTGGCTTGGTGCATTGCTTCCGACATTGTTGGTTTGGTTCAGAGGAAAAAGAGCCAGGTTGCCCCGGCCTCTGTCAGCGCCATCGCTGCACAGCCGAGCCTCCTCCACAGCCCCATCGAAGTGGCAAATAAGGCGAGTGTCCTGGAAGTCACTCAAGTCACTCGCATTTTGCACGGGAAGTCGCTTTGTGACCAGTTTCGCATCAAGCGCCTTGTGGAGGTTCTGTGGCCTTGCGGCCGCGCAGTTTGTTCTGTGCCCGCACGGGCTGTGGCTCTTCTCGGTGTCGCCCTGGGCCTTCGTCGCAGCAAGCGCCGGCCAACCACGCGCAAGCGCCCTGGCAGCAGGGGGTGGCCGGAGGTCCACTTGCATCGATTTGCACGCGCAAGGATCAGCGGCAGCACAGCGAGCCACTTGGTGGCGATTGGAAAAGATGGTTGCCCGGTCAGCAGAAAAGCCGAGGCCATGGAAAGCCATGGAAGGAGCATCGCAATCCACTTGAAGCCTTGGTGGATCAACTGCGTCACGTGTTTGAGGGCGTGGCTGGACATGCAACTTGGTTGGTCAAGAACGAGCCAGTTTTGCAACCGGATTCAGGGATGTTTAGTATGCCCATTTGGGGTGAGTAGGTCAGTGCATGGATGGCAGTGCGGAGAGCTGTCACGCAAGCTCCATTGTGAACGCGGGCTTTCAGCAAAGTTTTGGCTTTTGAAGTCCGCATGAAGTCTGGCAGTCTGCTATTTCTTCCAATATTTGGCCTGACAGTCCATCCAAGCAGCTGACATCAGGGCATCGAGAGTTGGAGCATATCAGAGCAACTTACAAGCTGTTCGTTCTTTTGGTTGGGCTTTTCCGATGTCCGACTTGCCATGAAAGTGGCGCGCTGGCTGCCATGCATTCTTGTGCAGCTGGCAGCGGGCAGTCCTTGTGATGACCGATGCTTTGCATGCAACAATGTTGCTTGTCCTCGGCACCCTGGACAGACAATGCCTGGTTGGAATTTGGTTCAGAGCTCTCGCATGGAGATCCCTAAAAGTAGGCGTGGCGTTTGTTGGCAAAATGCTTTGGACAAGCATGGGAGAACACATGACATTCTTCATGCACATGTTTCTGCAGGCCTTGTGGCACAAGTCACCACACACACACACACACGCAGTAGGTATGCGGTGTGAACTTGGCAGCGCTGAAGCTTAGGATATGCTGCTTGGGTAACAGATCGGGAGGCTTTCCAGCGAAAAGATGAGCCACGCCACCTCTCGGGTTTGCATATTGTTTGCGTCTGGAAGGAGGCACGGTCTGACAAGTATGCATTGACTCGAGCTATTCTTGCCAGAGGCGGGGAGGCTGCGTTTGGAAGCACACATGAATGGCGTGCTCGAGAAGGATCCACTTCGCTCAGACCTCGATGAGGTGGGTGCCCGAGGAATCAGCACTTTCATGGATTTCCTCTCAGCCTCCCCGATGCCATGCATTTGTGATCACATCGCGCCAGGCGCTGAGTCTCGACTGGGGGCAATTCAGGAATTCCCTGCAAGGGGCCCTTCGCTTCACCAAGGCTTGGTGCGTTGGTCTTTGTACCATGCCATTTATTTTCCTGAAAGCAGATGCCGGCACTTTTGGTACATTTTGTGGGCATGCGGGGGGTTCGACTCCAGCCCAGTCCTGGCAGGACTGGTTTGCCACGTGCCCTTATCACCCCATTGTTTGGGAAGTAAACTTGTAATCAGTGCCAGCTTTATGTGGTTCTGCAAGTTTCAGGAATCGTGTTCTCCTTCCTTGGTGGTCCAATGGAGCGCAGGCAACTTACGAATGGGGGAACTTCCACCTGAAGCAGCCCTACGGAATTTTCGCCGAAACAGGCCGCCGCTTGCGCTCGGGAACGGAGGCGCGGGGCACTAGCAAAGTGTTGCACAAATTAAGGACTTAGATCGTTGTCATTTGCATGCGTTGCAACCAGATTAGGGCAGGGGAGGCAGTGGACAATTTTCGAGACTTACTTGGATCATGGCCTACATCTTTCTTCTGATATTCGCCAGAGGTGCTTGATGCTGGTCTGGTGCTGGTGGTGGAGGGCGGGCAGTGGTTCTGGCCACCCGTGCGAATTGGATATGTGCGCCAACTGCCTGGCACTCCATACATGCTGCTTGCTTGCATCAAATTTCAGGGGCGAAGCCCTTGTGATACCTTTCTTGACAAGCTGCGTCATGTTGATTGGCTGTTGCATGATATCAGCTTCCGGCGAAATCATACACCATGTTGAAAGCGTGGAAGCCATCATTCCAGGGTCTTGGTGCTGGACTTCGTCCATCCACAGTAGCAGACATTGTCAATGGATTTCTGAGACTTGCGGAAGTCTTGATGTCAGATCATTTGTGTTGCCCGATTGCTTGCGCTGAAAGGGGCAGTGAGACACGGCAACACTAGATTTAGACTAGGCAACACTAAACCAAATCTAACAGGAAGTCCTGACAACCTGAACTTGAACTGGGCAATGCTAAACTAAGTGGCAATACCCAATACTTAAGTCATCAGGACTTACTTTTAGATTCTCAAACAATCCCAAAATTGAAGGTTTGGGGACCACTCGCCAAATTGATTTCCTGGCTCTCAGGCCTTTCTTTACCCTTTGATCATGCGAAAATTGTGAGTTTCAGTGACCCCCTCAAAAAAGTTGGATGTCAAAGAAACCACCAAAACAGTCACATTAAACAGAATCAGGGCCTCCCCTTTGTGTAACTGAATCAGGACCTCTTGTGGGCAACCCTCTTTGTGTGACTGGTTGCCCTTACCTTTTTGTGAAGAAGTTATCTTAGAATTGATGGTTTGGGGACAACTCACAAAATTGATTTCCTAGCTCTCAGGCCATTCGTTACCCCTTGATTATGCGAATCGCCCTTTACAAGTGAAGGCAAAGGCTTTGATCTGCGAGTTCAGCGACTCCCTCAAAAAGCTGGTCATTAATTAAGGAAACCACCAACACATTCAAATTAAACAGAGTCAGGGCCTCCCCCTTTGTGTAACTGAATCTGGACCCCTTGTGGGCAACATTGGGCAACCCTTTTTGTGTGACTGGTTGCCCTTACTTCTTTGTAAATAAAGTATCTTGAAATTGATAGTTTGAGTACCACGGCAACAAATAGATTCCTTTTTGTTTGCCCTGATTGTTCTTTGCGGCAACAAAAGCTTGACATAAATATGGTACCGAAACAGGGGGGGGTCTCGCTTAAGCCGAGGAAACTTGACACAATTAAGGGTACCAGTATGAAACCAGGTGCGACATTATTCTGCCAAGGGGGCTCGCTAGATGAGACAGCCGTTCAGACCTCATGCCACGCAGGCTTGAAACTGTGTCCGTGCAGCCGGTGCTTTTTCGGGTACGCGGATTCTTGCGTGAGGAGGCCCCGTGGTTGCAGCCCAAAGCCAGCTTTCTTTGTGTCGTCAGCGTCCTGCTTTTCCGAGGAGTGCAGGGTGATCATCGACATGGCGGCTCCCAACATGTCGGATTCAGACGTTGTCCAAACAGAGAAACATTACAGGGAGAATGACACGGACTTGCGGACAAGCACGCAAGCCCGCTTGCACAGTTCAGTCAATCCTTTGCGCCTTGACTTGAGCCGTGTGTGCTTTCAGCTCAATCAGGTTGGCGTAGAATCGGACTCAGGCTCCAGGAGTTGGACCTCCGCATCAGCAACCTCACCCGCGTGGACGTCGCCCACAACGAGGAGGTCCAGGTGCTCAGATACCGCTCGAAGGAGTTCTACGCTGCCCACACGGACAACTTTGATCCGAAGTACTACGAAAATACGGCAGCTTGGCTGCAGGACGGTCGGCGGATTTCCTGTGATGGCTGCTTCGGGCGCAGGACTTCATCGACAAAGGCCACAGGAACAGGCTATTGACCGTCTTCTGGTATTTGACAAACGTCTCCAAAGGCGGCGAGACCTTGTTTCCACGTGCAGATGGCTTGCCGCCTCCCAAGGACAAGGGGGCAACATTTCCAGGCAGGTTGTTTTTCTCCCTTGGCTTTGCCTGAGGCAAGAGGCAGGGCTTTACCGCGCTTGCAATAGACAGTGCAAGCGTGCAAGGACATGCGCAGCTGTGAGCGGGGCCTCAAGGTTCGGCCAGAGGTTGGGGCGGTGATACTATGGTATTCTTTGCGCCCGAATGGCAACGGGGACCCGCGCTTCAGCTATTGAACTCACTTTTTCACAACAGCTTGGACTTGAGTTTAGAGACTTGGAAACCAAGCCTGCGTGCCAAGGAACGGCCTGCATGCCGCCTGCCCGGTTGAAGATGGCGAGAAATGGTCTGCCAATTACTGGGTGTGGAACAAGCCGCGCGACCTTCTGATCAGTTTGCCTGACGCGGACGTGGATGAGGAGTATCATGGAGATTTGGCTGCACACGACCCTGCAAGGTCTTGCTGCTGGCTGGGATCGGGGCACTGCGAGTATCAGTCAACGGGCGAGAAAGTCAGTAAAACACATTTCAGAAAGCACGAATGCAAATTCAAAACTCAGAAAACACAAATGGGAGTCGATCTAAATCGACGGAACTAGGCTTTGTGTACGGGAGACCTAGTGGATATACAAGGTGTTGCCACACTGTGGTCGCGAAAGAGGGCGTACGGGCGAGCGAAAGGGAAAGTGGTCGGTGTTATGCACAATGGTTTTGAGGGCCTCAAATGGCTCCAAATGTTATTTTCGTCTTGCGCAAAACAATTTTCAGACCAGTTTGAAGCATTTTCGGCATGCTGGGTTTGGAATCTGTAGGTTTTTGATCCGGTTAGGATCCTTTCGTCACCAGGGCCGAAGGTCTCCCTCCAAAGGTCCCCCCCAAAAAAAAGTTAAGGCAAGTTCTTGGATGGGAGAGTGGATTGCCACGCATCTGCAACGATTCAAGAGCCATTTTGGCTCCCGTGCGTCACTGAGCAGACTCTGGAATAGAAATGCTGAATGCTATGGAATGCTGACATTCGCCCGCAGAATCCACAGAACTTATTTTCACCGGCTGGAAAACGAGTTCCGGGACAAAATTCGCAGAAGTTATTTTCGCCGTCCTCCTTATAAAGCTCCTTATAAAGCTCTTCATTGAGATCTTCCTTATAAGGCTCCTTAAGGAGCCTTATAAGGAAGATCTCAATGAAGAGCTTTATAAGGAGCTTTATAAGGAGGAGCTTTGTAAGGAGGTTTGTAAGGAGCTGCACAAGGAGCTTAATTGACAAGCTTTATAAAGTGCTTTCTAAGGAGCTTTTGATGGGTGTCCCCGAAATCGCTTTCCAGCCGGTGAAAATAACTTCTGCGGATTCTGTCCCGAAATCGTTTTCCAGCCAGTGAAAATAACTTCTGCGGATTCGGTCCCGGAACTCGTTTTCCAGCCGGTGAAAATAAGTTCTGCGGATTCTGCGGGCCAATGTTCTAAAAAGCTTTATAAGGAGCTTTGTAAGGAAGCTTTGTAAGGAGGTTTGTGAGGAGCTTTATAAGGAGCTTAATTGACAAGCTTTATAAAGCTTTTTATAACATTGGCCCGCAGAATCCGCAGAAGTTATTTTCACCGGCTGGAAAACGAGTTCCGGGACAGAATCCCCAGAAGTTATTTTCACCGGCTGGAAAACGCTTTCGGGGGCACCCATCAAAACTGCAAAGCTCCTTATAAAGCTCCTTGTCGCGCTCCTTATGAAGCCCCTTATAAAGCTTCCTGTAAAGCTTGTCAGCTCCTTACAAAGCTCCTTATAAACCTCCTTACAAAGCTGCTTTTAAAGCTTCTTTAAAGGCTCCTTATACTTCCTTTACTACACTTGTAATGGAAAGTTGCGACTTCCGAGCCGGAGCTGCCAAAGTGCACTTCCTCTACTACAATTGTACTGAAAAGTTGCGACTTTCGAGCCGGAGCTGCCGAAAGTGCACTTCCTTTACTACACTTGTACTGAACAGTTGCGACTTGCGAGCCGGAGCTACCAAAGTGTACTTCTTTTATAGTTGCTCACATAGAGAAAGCTCCACTCCCCGAGCCGCGAAAGCCGGCATAAGGGCGAGCGAAAGGGACTCTGTTTGTCCTTGCAGCGGCACCAACATTTGGATCAACCCCCAAATGCGAAAGGAACACACATGTGCGCCAATCACAAGACGCGGGCGCGAAACACAGACAACAGACACGGATCTGGTTGGGACAGCTGGGATGTCTGTCTGTCTGTGTCTCTGTGCTTGTTCTTTTTGACGTGCGTCTTTTTGTGAGGCGAGCAGCCAGTGACCAGCAACCATGTCAGCGCAACGTTTCGAAATGAACACCCCTTTCCCGTATACCTGTCGGCGACTCAGTGCTTCGTGCTGCAGCAATTGGTTTTTGCCTCGCCTGATTGTAGCAGGTTTTGGAAGCCACCTCATCAAGCACGAGAGGCATTTATGGGGGAGATCTCCCCGCAGGACTGATGATGCTGTTGCCAAGCAGCCTGCCTTCGATTGCCCTGTGCCCTTGCAGTTTCGCAGGCAGCTGTCAGCGCGCAGACATTCCCCTTGCACACTTGGCATATCCGGATGGGCGCCGACCCGTCCAGCGAGCTTGTCGCCGTCCAGGCAAGCGGATGTCGACTTCAGGGATAAAGTTCCGAACTACAAAAAATGCGCAGGTGCTATCCCCATCAGCGCCACCCGTCCTCGCAGAACCCTCCTCGCAACCATTCCTTGCATCCCGAACTCTAGAAACAACTGCCCCGTGCATACCGGAACTCTCGCAGAACGCCGCGCAACCTTACTTCAGAGCGCTTTCGGCTGTTAGGGAAAACTGGTTGCAGTCTTGCCTTAAGTGCTTGCAGTGCTGCTTGTAGCAAGTGGCATATTGTCATACTGTACTTTCAGTTAAACGTGTAGCAGTAGTAGTAGTTGTGCTGCCAGTAGTGCTTGCAGTGTTGCTTGTAGTACTTGTAGCACTCGTATTTGCAGGATTTCCAAGGGGAGACGCAGGCGGTTTAATGATAGATCTTTTCTAAATCTGTATCTCTCGGGCTTGTGTGTACTGGACTGTTGGGGCGTCATTTTTTGAATGGGATGCGCAAAAGTGGTCTGAGGACCCGCCAGAGTAACAAGGGCGGCGTTCAAACTAGATGAGGTGCCCGCGCGGGCTCCTATCATAAAGAACCCACGCGAGGTTTAGCCGACTTTTTCTTTCGATGCCAGGTCAAAAGTACTCACGATCGCATGTGTTCGGCCCAAAAGAAAGTTCGAGCTTTTTGCAAATGGGGCACCATCACACGTGTCCAGCTCACAAAGAATGTGAACTTGAGCCGGCTTTTTGTGGTTCTACCCCAAAAAGGTTCGCAATCACATGTTTTAGGCTTGAAAAATGAGTGTTTGTCGATTTTTAGGATGCGTTACAACAATGGTGCAGGATCACATGTGTTTGGCTCACAACAAGATGAGTCTGAGCTGATCTTTTCTATATGCACGACCACATGTGTTCGGCTACTATATATGTTGGTAGAACGGCGTAACCCATTGCAACAAAAATGCAATATCGCATGTGTTTGGTGCTTTGCTTTTGGGTTCCCCCCCCCCGTCAGGGGGTGTTCAAGTAATATGTGAGCTTTCTATAATTTCTATACAAATATTCAAGTTGCGGTTTGTGTTGTTTACCAGCAGAAGTTGTACAACCCAGACAACGAAGTGTTTTGTTGCTGAGTTTCACCACAGGCTTTGTTGGGGTGGGGGAGTTCAAACATGTTCGAGGTTACTGGACACATGTTCAACGGGAAGTTTGCGTTGTTCACAACAACAGTTGTACACCCATGAAAATGCAACGTTGTTTTTGCTGGGTTTACTCTTCTTTGTTTTTCCTTACTGTTATTGTTTTTTGGGGGGAGTTCGCAATGTGAGGTTGCTATACACGTGTTCAACTCACGATTTGTGTTGTTTACCCGAACACATGTTGAGACGTGTGTGTTGGGCTTCTGATCATATAGTTGTTGCAATTGTTCAAAGTGTTTGGTATATGAACCATTTTCTTGCATGCATTGTCTGTTTCGTGAGTGCCTGGCCTGATGGCACGTGTGTCGGCCATCGTGTTTTCTGGCACAAACCGTCTATTGTTGATGGGAGTGACTCGTCGACGAATCTTCTTGTGCTTCAATAAGCGTGTTCATGTCCGAGGCATGGTGGTTGCAGGCGCGCTATGAGTATTGTGGTCTCAACATACTTCGCGCTGTTCGTCGTTCTTTGCAAGGTGTTGGGGTTGCAAATTTCATCGACGCTGAAATTCAGGGACCCAAAGGCAGCTGCAGACATTATTGCAGCGAAATTTGTTGGAGCGTGTTGCCGCGTTCTGGCCACGGAACCAGTGTTTTTTCTTACTAGCCCCGGCTCGGGCTGGTTGATCGGTGGGTTGGTTGGTCGGTCGGTCGGTCGGTCGGCCGTCGGCCGGCGGTTGGTCGGTCGGTCGGTCGGTCGGTCGCTTGGTCATGCTGGGTTACTTGGTGTCAGGGCTGTGTATCGACCAGAGTTGCTCTGGCTGAACCGGCCTTATCCTCAGCATTTGCCTATTGGCTTTGATTAGGAGGCAGCCCAGAGTTGCTCTGGGCTGGTTTCGGGAGTGTTGGGCTTGCTGTTTTAACGAGGGCGGGTCTTGGGTTTGTTTCGGGGCTTGGCAAAGGGCTGCGATGCTGTTGGGAGGGCTTAAGGTTGACTTTAAGTTGCCTGGGGCTGATTTGCGCTGGGCGCGCGGTTCGTTTTCAGGGGTTGTCGGCTGCTTTGGGATTGGTTGCGGGGAGCTGCCCCAAACCAACAAAACTGTCAGCTTGCGCAACCCGGAAGCCACTGTGACCATCTAGCGCAAATCTCCCAGCCATCCCAAACTGGCGTCCATTTCCAGGCTACAACTTTCAGTCTTTGGCAAGTGTCGGTGCTCGCTCTCTAACCAAGTGGGGCCGCTGTGCGACATGTCAGGGCGGGATTTTGACAGGCTTTTCATTTGACAGTATATCTTCTTTGAAACTTGTGAAACTTGTGCCGGGGGCAAATTGAACTGCGGCAGGAGCCTAATTGACGGATGCAGACGCACGCAGATATGCATGTTCGTGTGATAAAGCTGCGCGTGGGGGTTTGTAGCTGTTAACCTGTAAATTCATCCATAGCAAAATGATGCTGGAATGGTTGTTGGTTGTTTTGGGGAAGAAAGCGCCGCCGGGCAGTGTGTGAAGGAATTAGCACATTATAGTCGGGGGAGGGGGCTTGCCCATGAAAACGCAAGACATTCCCTGGTGTGGTTCGTTTCAATAGTGCCGACCCCCTCTTCAGCACATAAGGGAACGCTTGGCTTCGCTTTCAGACCCGCCCAAACATATCCGAAAAACTTACCCTTAAAACAAAGGACAAACAAACGTACCAACGAACAATGTCGCGCAGACAAAATCACTCCATTCCCGCGGACAACGTCCCACAGAGAAAGCACTCCCACGCCCGCGGGCAACTTCTCGCAAACAGAACGTCTTCGCGTGCAACGTTCGTCCTGCCCACAACACGGACAACGTCTCACAGACCAATGCCCACGGACAGCGTCTCACAAACAAAGACGCTCCGCGCTTCAATATCGCCCGCAAGAAAAACAGCACGAACTGCGACGATGTCCTTTAGAAGTGGGCTTGAAGGCTAGCAGCGCGTTTCGGCAATGTGGGGCGATGTAGAGCTCATGCTGAGGGTGTGGAGTGTTGTTTTTTTAAGTGTTTGATGCGGGAGTAAAGAACACAACAAGAAGCAGGTGATGCGGAAGGAGATGGCAAAGTGATGACAAGGGTGCAAGGCGTTGTTCTTTTGAGTGTGTGATGCAGAGATGAAAGAAACAAGTGTAGAACAGGTGGTGCTGATGCGGAGAGGTCGTGCTGATGGCGCGGGGCATTGTTCTTTTACACGCTTGAAAGAAAACATGGTAAAAAAGAAAAGAAAACAGGTGATGCTGAGGTTGTGGGAGGTGATGCTGCTAATGTGTTGCGCGTTTGGCTTCCGATTTCCATCGCGTGACTCTTGTGCCTTGTTTGAGATGGGTTCCGGACAGTTCCTGGCGCGGTTCCTGGGCTTTTGCGCCGACCCGACCAGTCTTTGCGAAAGAGTGGTGGGTCGAGTCCATTGCGCCCAAATTTCCGGGGGAGGGGCGCAATTGAGGGGGGCTCGAGCGAAAAAATTGGGCGGGGTGCCTGCAGGAAGGGGGGCTGGGGCGGGGGGCGAGAGGGCGATAGGGTGCCCGAATGAAACTGTACTACAAAGTTGCGATTTTCGAGCTGGAGCTGGGGAAGTACACTTCGCGTACTACCTGGTACTGAGATGTTGCGAACATGTTGCGGGTGTGTTGAAGCACCGTAGAACGATAAGGGCCACCCAAAACCGATAACTTCAAGATCTCTACGAAGGCCAAGCAAGAGGTTTCGGCAGTCCCTCAAATATATTATGTATATATATATATAATTTGGCAGAGTCGGTTCTGCATAAACACCTGTTTTGACATTTTGGGTCCAAACGGGCTGAAAACCCTGGACAACCACCCGGACGAACCCCCGGACAACCCTCCGGACAGCTCTGAGAACACAAAATCGGCGGGACAACTCCCAGGACAAACCCCCGGACAACCCCCCGGACAGCTTTGAGGGCCCAAAAGCCCGGGACAAACCCCCGGACAAACCCCCGGACAAGCCCAAAATGTCCTGAGTTTAAACTCAGGACAAACCCCCGGACAAACCCCCGGACAACCCTCCGGACAGCTTTGAGGGTCTTCGGACAGGCTTGGAACACGCCAAAGCCACTCGGAAACCACTCAAAACCACTCGGAAACCGCTCGGAAACCACTCGGAAACCACTCGGAAACCACTCGGAAACCGCTCGGAGGGAAGTATTCTCGCGGGAGGGGGGGTTTGCAGCATAAATCTCGGCAAAGTGCGCGGACAACCCTCCGGACAACCCTCGGGACAACCCCCCGGACAACTTGCCGGACAGTTGTTTGTCCAGCAGTCTGTCCTGCACTTTGTCTGGCACTTTGTCCCGCACTTTGTCCCGCACTCTGTCCCGCATATCGAGGGGGGTGTTTATGCAGAAGGGCATTCGTCAATAATATATATATATGTATATATATATATATTGTAGGTTTAGATGAAGCGGCTTGTCAGAATGATCCAAAATTTGAGTATCACGGACCGATCAATACCATCATTTTGCATCACACCATGGCTGGGGCAATCCTACTGCTCTTGGCAGGAGATTGCAGACCAGCCCGAGCAGGTGTTTGTTCTGTCCAGTGGATCTGGGCCTGATGAGTTGTAGCCGCTGCCAGTTCCAGCGCTGCAAAGCTGGCGCTGGAAACATTTCTGTGCAATGTGCTGTGGAAGCCCTGCGCAAATCCGCAGGAAGCGCGCAGCCTTAGAACGCTGGCCGGAAGTCTCGTGGTTGCCAAACGTTTTGTCCAAACCTCTTCTACAATCAGGCTTGTGAAACGTGCAGACGCACATCGATGTGTGAGGGGCTTAAAACCCCCTACGCATTTTGTGAACAGGGCTTGACCAGCCTAGGGGCAAGGGATTTTGAAGGTCATTTCGGCCAAATGCATGGCAGCTCATAGTGACGACAGTCAAAAGGCCTGCACTTATTAGCAGTTGCCGTGGCATTGCAGCTTCATTTGGACCGCTGTGAGGTTAGTCAAATCCTTGAAAATAAAAACAAATTTTCACGCTTTGCCCAGGCGACTGCAGTCCACAAGCTGCAGGGTCAGCGCAGCACCACCCTGGTGGAGGTGCAGGAGCCGGAGACCGATCTTGGAGCCCCTTGGCAATGTGAGTTGCATCGGGAACCGGTGTGTGTTCCAGCTTATGATTTCGCCCGGCTTTCCAGTGACATGAGCAGTTTTCTTGCGTTTCTTGCCTGCCGCTTCCAGGCGCTTCCCTTGCAACCCAGGTCTTTGTCCAGCCGGGCAGCATGTACCAGAACGAGTACATGACCCTCTGGAATGACAACAATGACCCCGTCTCGGCAGTTTTGCCACTCGCCGAGATGTTGGATTGTGTCACTTGCATGGCAGTGAATTTGGAAGACAGTCATTTGCGAGGCGCGTCCTGCCAAACGAGCACTGCGAGCTGGTGCTGTCCAACTTGGACTCAGTCCACGGAGGCAGCGAGGGCTGGATCATCTTCAGGAGATCGCATCCGTGCGGTGTCCATGCAAATCGTGTGACTTGCGTTCTTGTGGCTGGCTGGAGAACTAGGAGCGCCTACACGATGCACGACGTCCCTCATCAACCCAAACGCAAACGTCGCTCGGAAGCTGAGTCATTAAGTTGAAAGCATGTCCGGTGAGCTTTAAAACTTAAAAAACATGTCCCGAGGCTTGCAGCTGCGAGGCGCCAAAAGCTTGACACCTTTGGAGTACAACGACAAGCTTTTTGAGACACTCACCGGAGATCTGAAAGAGCGCCTTTGGCCGGTCATGGTCATGGCATGGGATTCAAGCCAAGGCGGCCTGCGCAAATGGCGCCGCTTGCCTGCAACATCTTGGAACATGTAGGGCATTGTCTGTAGTTGGCATGCCCCAAAACTGTTGTTGCAAGCAACCACCTACATTTCTTAGCCCAGCCCTTGATGATTTCAATGATGATGCACTTGGCCGGGAAAGCCACCGCTCTAAGTCTTGGCCTGCTGAAGCGTGCCTCGTGGATGCTCTCGGGCGCCTTTGCCTTGGAGTTCGATCTTGAGACGAACCAGGCAAGTCGACTCAAGATCTGACAGGTGTAGACTCATCTTGATGCAACGGCCAGTTTTGCGTCGTCTTTTGATTCGGGCATATGGCCGATTTGCGCAGGTTCACGCCGGCCCAAGAGCAGCGGTATTGAAGCCCTTTTGGCAAACCACGGTGGCCCTGATGCCAACGGAGGAGAAAGACTTGTGGAGTCTAGGCAGGCACTTTTTCTCACCTGCAGGGGCCTTAGGACTTCTTGTTTGGACCATCAGGGCAAAAGTAGACGCATCAAACGAAGCAGCAAGTGCCGGATGAAATAAGCTTGCAGGGTTGATGCCATGTTTGAAGGGCAAATGTCATGCTGTTTCACTCGAAGTTGCCAACCGCACAGTATGCGAATGTTGCGGCCTATTTGAAGGACGCATGTGGGTCCGAGGATTGTTTTGCACTGTGGCGGTGTTTGGGCGTAGCGTGGCATCTAAGGACATTCGAGCCTGTGCATACTGAGCCTGAACATGCTGCCGCCTATGCTGAACGCGTCCTGGTGCCAGCCTAGCCCCAAACTTAGCTGGCCAGGTTCCCACTATCGAGGGCGCTTTGGTAAAGCTACGGAAGCAAGAAATAATGAGAAAGAGAGAGAGAGAGAGAGAGACGGCGAGAGGGAGAGGGGCGGGAGAGGGGTAGCGGGAAAGGGGGAAAGAGGGAGACTGAGGCTGCACCTGGCAAGCCCGGCCAAGCACCGATTTTCAAAGGTGCACATCATATTTTTCTCGCCGGAAAAGGTCGGCAGCATTGTACAGCTTTTGCGAAGCTTTTTTCTCGAGCTTTCAGCGCGACACGCCTCAAGCCTCTGGAGGGCTTGAGGGCCGCTTCGGTTTTGCTGAGCGCTCGCTGCGGACTGTTTCAAGCCTTAGGCGCAGCCGTATTTCGCGTTGTGGACCTTTGAGGCGAGCAGCCAGTCCTCTGAGAGTTTGGCCCTAGGCACGGTGACGGGCCAAAACTGCCGAGCCGCCATGCCCTCATTCCTTCGGCGCCTTTGAATCTGCACGCAGTTTGCGCTCATTTGGAGCGCCAGACCTGTACAGGATGAGGTTCCATGCTTAGGTGACAAACCTGCAGCGCCCGGCCACTGAGAAAACTCGTGGCCCTCGACGTGCGATCCTTTGAATTCAACGCACGAAAGCGGTGCTTCATTCTGTCCCAAGATGCTGGGCTTTCAGCTTGAGTGCAACCGAGCCGAACAAACTGCGCATGGTGGGATCTCGGGCTGCCCTAGGTGCCTCGCATTCGGACAAGCCTTCAAGAATTGCTCATGCGACCACATGCTTGAATTCGGCACTATGCATGCGGGCCAGCCAGACTGGGGCCACAGACATTCTGCTCATTTGGGTATTGGGGGACACTTCTTGACCGGGCGGATCCAGCTTGAAGGTGGATGAGCTCCTGGATAAGCTTTGCTCGCACTGGAAATCCAAACATTCCAGCCGCTTGGCAGCAGGGCACCGCCTGCAACAGAATCATTTGGCGTCGACTACGCCGGCCTCAGGAGATGAAAGGTGCTTGGACACAGCCAGGCGCTCAGGGCGTGTGGCAAGTGGCAGGCTCCCGCTCTTTTCAGCTCCGGTACTTACCAGCCTCGTGCAGCGTGAGGTTTAGCTTGTCACCCAATGCCGTGATGCTGTGGGACCGACCTGGCAGCTGGGGTTTGGACAGTTGAATCCCCCTCAGACTCGAAGCAGACATTGCAGACAGCTTGGGTTATTGGGGGCATTGGGCTGTTGCGTGGGGCAGGACGGCCATGAGGGCTGGAAGCTGGATACGGAGTTGCTGCAGCGCCGCCACGGACTGTTGGCAGGCAGCCCAGGATTTGTTTCTTGGGTGGCGTTTCCACAGAACCCGTCTCGCCTTCCCTTAAGCCTTTGGCCAGCGCTCGGGATTGCATGCCTCCCCGCTACAAGTCCCATGTGGCTGCTCAAGACCTAAGTGTAATTCAAGCTGTTGGGCTCATGCTTGCAGCCGAGTTGGGCTGCTTGGGAGTGTTTGAGCGGCGAACTTCCTAAGCTTTGTCAGCAGACATTCTTGATCATGACTTAAGACTCGATATCAGCGTTTCAACACCACTGGGCCTCACCGATACTTTTCTACCTGACCCCCCCAAGCTATTCAGAGAGAGAAGCGAGACGCACATGCACAGCAGTACAGTGATTCTTGCATGGGCGCTTTACATGCGGTCGCTGCCGGCACTTCCCGCACTAGCACCAGCCAGCATGGAAGCGGCAACGATCCAGGGCATGTGACGGAGCTGCATTGGTCAGATGCTTTCCTTGTTCGGATGCCAGCTGGCAATCCAAAAGCCCAGAGGGTTACGCCTCCACGGAGGCGCATGCCTTGCGCACCTCCTCGCTTGGCACCTGTGCCGGGCAGGCAGGGTGGCTTGCTCGGCAAACAGATGACATGCTTCGCAGCGCGACCTTCTGACTTGCGAGGTTCCTCCAGCCTGGCGAGGCCGCCTTGGGACGACATCAGCTGAAAGCTTTGAATTGGCTAGCTCGGAGCCAAATATTGTGTTCAGGTGCGGCTGCGCTGTGGAGCCCATCAGGCTCACCGAGTCTCATCGCCCATTCAGCTCAGAGGCATGTGGCCTGGCGGCAGGAGGCAAAGCGTTTGTTGCCCGATAGGAGCCTTGCAAGTGAGGCACACACTGGTGCAGCCATGCCGCACTCCTTCCCCAGTGCGACGCCTGGATCTCGCCCGTGCTGGGGCCTCCTGTTTTGCAAGAAGGCATGCGCATGCGGCAGGCGCATTTTTCTTCGTGAGCCATGCCCTTGCAATCTTTTGATGGCATGACTTGCACGTGTCAGATATCACGGCAATGTTCCAAGGATGGCAGTTCTCCCAGTCCCGCACGGCTACTGCGACAGATGCCATCGCCCGGGCCATCCCCTTTCAGGCCATGAATGCTGGGAATCGAATGCCTCGCCCGCTTCGGCCGGAGGTCACCCTCGCCGGTGTTGAGGCCGCCTGTGTCCTGGCAGCCTCCACAAAGGCCACAGACAGCACCCTGCAGCACTTTTTTTGCATTGCCGTCGCTGGACCTATGGAGGCCTGTGCGAACTGGCCTGACAATGGCAGCGAGGCAAGGCTCTCGGTGTTGCCATTCCTTGGCCAGGGGCCTCGCCCAGCCAGACGCAGAAACGTGCGCAAGCTTGCACGTGTTAGGGATCATGCGGGATAGTTGTTAGCTTGTGGAGAGTTTACCAGCGCAGCCCGCGCAACACTGAGCGTTGAGCGCGCAAGGCCTTTGGGTGGGCCTGTCAGCGTGGATCTCAAATTTCAAGGCCCCAGCTAGTGCCGCGCGATTCCTCCTGAGGAATGTCGCCCAGCCAGACCCAGCCTCCCCCGTTTCCCTGGAGAGTGCGTCAGGCGGGTTGATGAAATCGTTGGGTGAAGGCAATTGGGGGTGGGGGAGCTGCTGTGAACTTTGGGCTGGCTTCTTTGCTAACAATGCCCTCGAGTCGAGGACTCGAGCCCAGAGCAGCTGTCGGAAATCGACATATCCGACCGAGATGTGAGCAGCAATGCTGCGACTGCAGTGTCGCCACAGACGCCATCAGAGAGATTGGTGCTCGCCTTAATTGGGGGGCATGACGAGGGCACGTCAAGGAATGCAAAGGGAAGCTTGCTCTACACCCATTCACAGGGACTGCAAACGTTCTCTCTGCACATCCCTTTGAAATACCGAATGCATTGATGCCCAGAAAGGCAAACCCCTGCAAGTTAGCAGGTTAGGGGCAACATCCTTTTGGCAGAGGTGCTTCGCTGCGAACCTTGCGGCCCTCCGCCGCAAAGGCCAGTGCGCTCCTCGCAGACCTTGGACAGGCGCACGGAAGCTCCTGTCAGCGTTTCACCTTTCGCCCATGCAAAATATGCCGACTGGAGGCAAGCGGAATGTGACCTCCGGGAAGAAATGCAGTGCTGCGCTTAGGGCGGCTAAAACTGCCCAGTCCCTCCATTGGTCGCAGGCGTCAGGTGGCCAGCAAGGACCAGGAGATCTCCACTTTGCGCTCACTGGTAGCCTCCACGGCTGAAGAATTGGACACGGCCCGGCTGCGGGTGACATGTGCCTTGGCTGACAGTTAATCCGAAGCTGCTCGTGCAACTCACTCAGTTGAGTCTACCAAGGTATTGTGTGCGCGGATGCGGACATCCAGTGCATTTTTCAGCCCTGTCATCACGTTGTGTGCTGCCAGGAGCACGGCGCTTAAGCATGGCCGACCCTGGCTTTCCGGAATTTGTTGGCCGGTGGTCTTTCTGCGTTTGCTTGGCTGAGGTGTGCTGGGCAGTGTCGCATGTGTCCTGTTTGCCGCTCCTCCGTGCAAACGGCCTCAGCGGTGTACCTGCCATGACCTCCTTGGCCCACGGATCGGTGACAACGACCTCTAGGCTGGTTTCTCAGGAGTTTATTTGGGACGCTGTGCAGGTGCTAAGAACTTGTTGCAGGATGCATGTGATTGTTGGGCAGGCGTTGGGTAGGTGACTCATCGTTGTGTGAGTTCTGCTTGGCACTGAAGTTTGCATCTAATTCACAATTTGCATCTCATTGATGCAGAGCACGTAGCTTTTTTAGTTGGGCACATGGCCGGCTGCAACGCTGTTCTCAGTGAAGACAGTTCGAACAAAGTCGTTGGCACTGCAGGGCCGTTGATTTGCATGGCCGGCGGTATTCATCAGACCTGTGCCAGAATAGGTTTCTTTCATGGAGGGCCTGCTGAAGCTCCCCTCTTGAATTCGTAATCCAAGTGACTCTCAGATGCTTGCACGTTGGGAGAAGTTCAAGCCACACAAGTTGTTGCAGACGGCGCTCGAGCGGCTCGGAGCGGCCCTTGACGCGAGGCTTTTGTTGCTGGTTGGGAGGGAGTCGCCGGGTGGGGTGGGGGTGGTTTGCACGGGAGGAAATCTCGGGCAACCCTCGCACGGCGTTATGGTTTATTTGGTGCAGGCAGCCCGTGCAGCTGTTATCATGCAGGATGCTTGCAAGGTGCTTGCCCAACTGCAGCAAATCCTGACCAGAACAAAGCAGCCATCCCCAGACCTGCGCTCTAGAAGCCATCCCAAGAGCGCTACTCAGCACTCCAGTGATGATTGTGGCACTCAGGAACTTGTCCATTTAGATTTTTTTAGAAACCTAGCCTGCTGTCCCACGGTCCATGCAGCGCTTTCGGCAAGCATGCCACGCGTTATCGCTCCGAACTTAGAGCGGAGCATTCGGACGTCGTTTTGGTTGCCAGCAGCCCATGTGGCATCCAACAGCTTTTTTTGATAGCAGAGGTTGTCTCCAACCGACTGCCGGTCACACTGCACTGGGATCGGCAAGCTCCAAATGATGTCGAGCAGAACCTAAGTTGCATCCACGGCCAGCATCAATTGCCTCAGTGGCTTTTTATGTTTTTGATTTGTTTGTCGTGTTGGCTGGCATCCAGGTCGTCAGGCGGCCTGGCCTCCGCCCTACGATCCTGTGTTGAGGACTACGAGGACAAGCGACTGTTTGAGTGATGTTTAGCTTGGCAAGCTTTGCAAGCAGCGCGGGCCCTGGCGATATCTTCCGCTCTAGGAAGTGTACTGGATCGGCTGGCCGGGCTGTGTGCCGCCGCCAGCTGAACAGCCGCGGCTGTCGCAGCGGCTCTTGGAGGAGCTGGCGGCAACTCAAGTCGCCCTTTTGGTACTGCTTACGTCGATTTACGTCGATTGTCCGGTTCAAACGCAGGCTGCCGCAGGCTTGTTGGCCCCAAAATTGGTGCGGCTGTTGCCCTCTGCCCCATGGTCTCTTTTGATTCGCGTCTGGGAGGCCAGCGGCAAGGTGAAGATGATTCCGGCCTGCGTGCCCAGCGCAATATGAGCAATTGAGCAATAGCAGCTGCAGTGCCTAGAGCTTTCGGAGCGGGCAGCTTGTGCTCCAGGTCTGGCTGCCGCAAGCTGACGTTGTTGACTTCTACACAGGACTAGTTGCGAGCGGCAGATGGCGTTCCAAGGTGTTCTTCCATGAGTTGGATGTCTGTTTCAGACATCCGAATGTGACACTGAGCCAATTAGACATGTCCACCTGCAAACGCTCAGAATGCACAAGCACGCTCCAAATTCGAATTGCTTGCCAGCGCTCAGGGGCATTTCATTCAACTTGTGCCTGTGCTTTGGCTTGAAGCTGGGTCTTTGGTTTTCCTGCAAGGATTCTCCAACTCATCGCTGTGGCCCTTGCTCCACTGGATGACGCCATATGCCCGCTTCAAAAGGGCTTGGGCAGAGGACTGGGCTCGGGTTGTCAAGAGCTTGACATGGAACCCAACACCCACCCCATGTTACCATATGTTGCCTATGTCTGAGTTGGCATTTGAGCGAGGTTGAGCAAGTCCGACGTTAGTGGCTTGCAATCTGGTTGATGGCCCGCAGGCATACCGCCGTGTCAATGAGCAGTTCACTGAAGCGATTCTCACAGCAGCAGACTTGATCAACCGCCTCTATTTCTGCGTCAGAGTGTGGACTCCGCTGAGGTGGCAACATCCAAGGACCTCATTTGGATTCATGACGCTGGCCAAGAAATAAGAAGTGATTACCAGCGTCGCAGTGCTTGAGGCCTTGGTTGAGATGAAGTGGGAGATCGGGGATGAAATTGCTCGCAAATCCTGGTAGAACTCAGGACTATCACTTGTTCCTGGTGCCGCAGATGTTGCGGAAACGGCGGGACAATAAGCTCGTCCAGGCACTTGAGCTGTGATTTTAAAGGCTTGCGGGTTGCAAACTGCGTCCATTGCGCGCCAGACCTGAGTTTACAGTTTACAGTGTGGCGTAGCAGATCCATCCTGTTTGGGGGGCGGGCTGAGTGGCCTGTTTGGCATCCGCAGAGCCAGTTCGGGTGGAGGTGCAAGCCAATCAAGTTGAGCCAAGATGCGGGATCCTGCATTGCCAAATTCCGGCACGCTAACTGCCTGATACCGTTTGCACAACATCTCAAGGA